TTGTTTGGTATTCTTGTTTGTTTATCAAACATTGCTAAGAGACACTATGGTGATTCATGGTGGTGGGTTGGCCTGTTCCACATTGAGACTGTGTTGTTTTTGTTTTCCTAATTAAAGACACCATCCTATAAATCTGCCGATGAATGAAAGATACTGAGCTTTCGAACATCTCTGTGTAGCTTAAACCAATACCTAAGTTTATAGCACTGGCATCCTGGCAAATGCACTTCACCTGTTATGGGAGCGTGTCCTGCGTGTTCAGTATTAATTTGGTTAGTTGTCCGGCAAAGTAAACACATTATATGAATAATGTCTCCAAACTCATACTCATTTGTCTAGAAAAATGGTTACCTAAAGGAACAGTCCAACAATTAGCTTCACTATATATTAAAGAAGGCCAGAGTACGATCTGCTATAAGCAGTGTTTACTACGCAAATGCTAATGCTAGTTCAGAAATGTTCTAGTGCTGTATTTATAAAGAATGAGAATAATAAATTGGAAATGAATCTATATGTATTATGACATAGATTTCACATTGGTAATATAACAAGGGATGTTTGTGTGCATATTTACATCTATAACTAATTATTATTATTATAAATAGTTCATTATTTCAGTGTGTGGGGGGGGAGGGGCATGATTTCAGACGCTGCTACATGATGAGTGACATAACCTGTGCATTATTCACTACAATGCCTGGATTGATTGACACCATGCTGTGCAGAGGCCCCTGATGTCCAGAGTGTGTCAGAAGATACAGTAGTGGCACTTACACTACTGGTCAGCAGTTGGCACTATGTTCATTCTGCAATGTTCTGATAATCATGAAATGTCCTTATTAGCTTCTCTTTCATAATATCTCTGTTGAGCGAGGGGCTGAAGTAGTGCAGGCGTAGCGACTGTCCCCCTTTTGGTGGGTCAGTTCCTGTTTTAGAATCCTGTCTTACCGTTCCAATTTAGTTCCCTGGTGTCCTGAAACAGCATGAGCATTTCATTAGATGCACTTGCGCCAGCGGGGAGGGTAGGAGGCTTTCAGCCTTGCATGCTGACGTCAGGCTGACATGCCCTTATAGTGGGTGGTTCTGCTCGCTTTCTGGTTGGGTCTGCCCATTATGGGCAATGATGCAAATTGTGTTCCCCTTAATGTCTTGCTCAACCGCCTCGATTCCATATCTACCAATAGAGGTATCTTACTGGAGTGCAACTCCCAATAGTCTCAGGCAGACAGTAGACATCTTTCGCTTGCTGTTGCCCTAAGGTTAAAGTAAAGCTAGTCCTAAACCTAATTAAAAAAAAAAGAAAAAAAAGTATATTAAAAATATATTGCTGGGTTTTGGAGACATTCTTAAGCTTTTCAAACACAGGTCTTGCAAAATGATTACATACACGGTAAAGCCCTTTTTTTACTCAAAAATCCAGAAGTAAAATGTTGATATCTTATATTTATTATGCGGTTGGTGTCTGATAAGCAGAGCTTTGTGATACAAGTATGATGGTATGAAGCTTACTTGGGGCAAGAAGGTGAGAGGTTTTTGTGCCCCCCCCACAACACTGTTGCATACCACCCACTGGTGGGACTCTCTTGCTTTACTGTGCCTTTCATCTTTCTGACCTCTTTATTTTCTCATATTTGCCCACCTCATGCCTTCCACCTCATGCTGCACAGTCCCAATTTCAGAGTCCTGTCCCGCCGTACCACTTTAGTTCCCTGTGGTGTCCCGCACCAGTGAACTGTCTCCACGCAGCACAGCACTAGTGGTAAAAATTAATAATTCCATATAGAGTTAGTTAATTTGGCCCAGTACAAGATAGGCAACTAAAACACGGGTTAGGTCACATTGTATTCTATGTAACTTCAATGAAGACACATCCAGCACATCTTGCTGCTTCACTGAATTTACTGCAGCCTCTAACTGGTATTAGACTATAATTCTAGTCGGTGGATACTAGGGATTACAGTTATTTATCAAATAAGAGTTAAAGCATCCTCCTGGTCATATTACAAAAAAAAACAGCCATATTTCGCCTGTCCAAGGTCATCACGTAAGACTGAGGGAGAGCAGTTTGTTATTGAGATACTACGCAGGTCATAGTGATCATTCTCTGCTCTGTTTTCCTCTCCCTTATCTGTTAAGTTTTGGAATGACATAAAGAGTATTTTTTTATTTTATTTATCTTTCTTGTGGGGAGAAGCGATTTACACTTGGCTGCAATTCACGAGGCTCCCCGGCAGCTGTCTATCCGTTGCAGCCGAGTTATTGCACTTAGGCATCTAGAAACACAATCTTCCAGTCCTAGGACAATGCCCTTCTGGAAAAGTTTTACTCTAAAGGCCTGTGATTAATATAAACATACCACAAGCCTTTAACTGTAAAAGGTCATTTGCGTTCAAGAAGGAAAAAAACAATCCTCCCACTGGATTTTTGGAGCTGGTCTGGATTTTATTGCAGGACAAATGCGATTATTGCTGTAGTACAGGCTCATGTGTACCTTTCAAGATATTTGGATCATAGAAAGTTTACAATGGGTACTTCGTAACAAATACCAGTATTAGATGTTTTTCTGTTGTTGAAATTTTGATGTTACCTGAATAAAACTTTTGTGAAAAAGCCCTACATTGGAAGCCTAAATTCATTTTGCCAATAGTGCATAGTTCAGAAACAATCTTAATAGTGTGTTTGCAAAATTGCTTGCAGAGTCTTATCTTATCGGTGAGAATTGGCGTTATTTTGATGGGATGTTAAGATTTGAATGCACAGTTGTCCGGCAGCCCAAACCGCCACATGTCATGACTTGGTTGCGAAGGCTTGATGCACATACAAATCTCATAGTAATAATAATAACAAAGTATTATGGCTATACCTACATGACAGTTTAATATGTTGGTATACTTTTTTTTTTTAGGCTGTGATTTTTAATTCTCCTCAAGTTGGAGAACTAGCATTAAGGAGATGGTAGCATTGATACCAAGACTGGTCAAGGTTGAAAGAAGAGTAGGATGATTTTTGAGTAAATGCAATGGGTAGATCAAGGATGATGAAGATAAACAAGAGCTTAGAATGTTTTACTTGGCCAAGGAACTAATGGACAGCGTGTGCTGCATCGGATGGGTGGGCGACCTAGAATCCATGGAGTGTGAGTGGGTGAAGATAGCTTCCAGTTGACAACGCACTTTGAAAGCTTGTACAAGTAACAGAGGATGATTGGTTGAAAACTGTAAGGTAGAGAAGGGTAAAAGGAAGATTTCTCTTTGACATGGAGAGGTAACTGCCATTTTGAAGGCACTAGGATAGCACCCAGAAAAGAGAAAGTGACTAAAAACTGGCTATGGGTAAGGCAAAATGACTTGGAGGAGAAGAAAGAAAAGAGAGTTGAGATTGGGTTTTCAAGGGAGGTGGTAGGGTGGGCCCGCTTTTTGATGATGAGTAGATTGTTGTTAGATGTGGTTTCAAAGGAAGACTGGGTGGTGGAGATGGAACGAGGTAAATTTGCAAGTTTTGCTGCAGCAAGGGAGAAGGTGGTATGAGTGAGAGAAGTGTCTATAAAGACTGCCAGATGCATGCATATATACATACATAGCATAATGAAATGGTAGTGAGTTTTGTTTTAAAGCCGTGCAATTGTGTATTATACATTTGAGGGGGTAGTGTTGTTGTTTACATCTTTTAGACTAATTTGTAGTAAAATAGCTGTATTTGCTAATCATTTCTAAGCTTACAGATGGTGTAAATGTATTTCTCTTATCATTATAACCCATTGTGCCATTAAACAGGAAAACAGAGAGAAAAATGAAGTTCAGCCTGCGTGTTACTAATTTGAGACCCATTAGTCGGCGCGTATTATTGAAAGAAGTTTTTGGGCTGTGTTTACAGTCGTCATTTTTCCATCGCCTCTGGCAAGCCATTTAGATGTCTCAAACCTGTCAACAGATTATATCAGACTAAAATGCTAAAAGAAAACTAAACAATTAAATTGCTCCACAAGTAACGGAATGCAGAAAGCGTTGGTGTCTACCAAGTAGTGTAAAGGGGGAGTATGTCGAGAACGAGTGATGTTTTGAAAGCTCTTTATATTTTTCTGCTGCATGTCAGAAAAGAAAATAAAGACTCTTTGCTAATTCTCGAAGCATGGAGAAATAGCACGAGAACTGCAAATATTACACCAAAAGCTGAGCTGGAAAAACATGCTTTGAGACACATTGCTCATTCCCAGAATGCAATGCCCAATTTCTAAATCTTTGCATTCCGGGTGTTGTGCAAGTATTGTGCCTTTATCAAAATGCGCTGGCATACTTTAATATACTCCGTATGCTAGGAATGTGGTTAGTGCAATGTACAGATTCAGTTATGCCTTTTTGAACGGGCTCCTGGACAAATTCAACTTTCGCACTTGTCACAATAAACATACACTTTTATCATTCACACTGAAAATACTGTGTACAGTAAGTTAAAATGTCATTACAATATCACAGATTTACTGATATTTTTTTTTCTGAGAAAGCACAGAGGAATACATGGGTCCGTCGAAAATCACTAGGAAACGGTAAAAAAAAAAAAGAAACGGGAAGATGAAAAAGAGATACACAAGGAAGTTTATAAAAAAAAAAAAAAAAGAAAAGAAAACATAATTTCAATGTTTCTGTAATAGTAAGCCTCTTCAAATTTATGACGGCCCATCTGTCACTGTGAGTTTTTGGAGTAAAAATCAATACAATTTACAAGGGCATAGCATATGCAATGTGTTGTATGCAGATGTTGTCATTTAAAGGCAGCCATTCTAAAAATCTAATTACTTACACACTTTCACGTCAACAGCAAGTCAAGAATTACAAAATTACTGGTTCAGATCTGCGAGGATGTGCAGAGGGAACTGGCCGCTTGCAAATGAGCGTAGTTCTTGATTGCATTAAGAAACGTAAACATGCTAATGAGGCTAGTAATGCAGAGGGGGATGAAAGATGCTTATTCTCATTGAGTATAACAGTGCTCCGCCGGGAATTCTTGTCCTACGAGAGTTAATGTAACTCTTTCCATACTGGTGAGTTGACCAACCCTTTGTTATTTCCAATCTGGCTCATGGGGCATTATTTTATTGCCCTCCTGTTCTCTAAGAAACATCTTACTTACCTGCTCTCTACCATATCATCAAATTTAATTTGGATTTGTTAATATTTAAACATTTGTCATAGTTGCTAAATTAAAAGATGCTCTCCATATGCTGTATGTATGTATAGTGTGTGTTGCTAACTCATAGCACATATGGTTATCCATGCTGTGTTTTTAGTCAGACGCACCACTTATCTTCTAAGACCATGCACACATTGAAGGTTTGTCAACATCGCTGAATGCAATCTATAGATGCCATGTGCTTGATTGTGAATTCAGGATTTATAAATGCACACTAGTTCATGATTACCAGGTGTGAGGTTTTTGTCATATAAGCTTGGACTTCTAAACGAAAAAGTTTAACGATGGCCGTCCCATCTATAAAGGGACACTATAGTCACCAGAACAACTACAGCTTAAAGCTGTTATTCTGGTGTGTATAGTATGTTCCTGCATGCATTTTCATGTAAATAATGCATTTTCGGAGAAAAGGCAGTGCTTAAATTACTGCATAGGGATGCTTCCTGGGTCAGTGCTGCACATCTCTTTAAGGAGATGCTGATTGGCACAGAGTGGTGGTTTGTAGTTTGCTGCATGTGTTCATTAGCCTTCCAATGCTTTTCTGAGGGAAAGAATTGGATTGGCTGGTATTGTCAATTTTAATGATCTCAGTCAGGGAGGTGGAGCGAGGGCGGGGCCAGTACCTGCGGACTTGTGTGGCGCTGAAAAAGGGTATTAACTAGACTGAGAATTAGTTGCAGTTTGGAGTTATACAAATCTCTAATTCCTTAAAGCAGCACTGTCATGCTGAACTTACCTTTCCTCAATCTCTTCCTCTTCTCCCCCTCTCTCAGGATCTGCTCTTCTTTTCCTCCTGTCGTCTTTAGTTTTCTTTAAGCCTTGTGGAGGTTTCCTCCGCTTGACCAGCAGAGGAGCAAAGTGTGCTTCATTTCCGCTGGTCAGAGCAATTTTCCCATAATTCTTACCTTTCCTCTGTGATCTCACGATGCTTCCTGTCATTTTAGACGAAACTGCCGAATTGCGTTCTAACTGAATGAGAACAGTATGTTCGTTTGTTTTAGAACGCAATTCGTCACTTTGTTCGTATTGGAATTTCATTCTAATGAATGAAACTCCGATTCAATTTGTCTAGCATGTCTAGTAAACAGTAAACCGCCCCCCCCCTCCCACCTGTCCTCCCCCCCTGCGCGGTGGGTGGGGGCAATAACACAATAAATGACAATGGGGGGGACCTATTGTCCTACCCCCCCGGCCCCAACACCTGGGCGACGGGTGGGGGCCCTAAATGACAATGGGGGGGCTACTGTCCTCCCCCCCCGGTCCCCACCCCTGTGCGGCGGGTGGGGGCCCTAAAAAAACAATAAAGGGGGGGATCTACTGTCCTCCACCCTGGCCCCCACCCCTGAGCAGTGGGTGGGGGGGACCTACTGTCCTCCCCCCCTGGCCACCACCCCTGAGCGATGGGTGGGGGCCCTAAAAAAAAATAAGAGGTGGAGCGGCGGGTGGGGGCCCTAAATGAAAATTCACCCCCACCCCAATCAAGGTGACTAGAGGTCCCAAGCCCCTAGTCAACCCCCCCACCCAAATAAAACTATCCCATGCTGTTTAAAATGACACAGACCACTCTGATTGGATGGATTTCAAGCCAGACTGGTGGGCTTGGAATCTAACCACTGTTTAGTAGACATACCCCTACTCACGGTATAGCGAGTAGGGGCATTTATGCTATTATGGGGGTCATATGGGGGTCATATTGACCCCTATAGAGTGAGGGACTACATGGGGGGCTTAGCAAGTGGTGGGGAGCACAGCTCCCTGCCGCTTCTATCTTTACATATTACAAGGAGGGAGCTGCGCGCCGGTAGCTCCCTCCTTGTAATAAACTGAATGAACAAATGAACACTGATACCCAGTGTTTGTTTGATCGTCTAACAATGCTATTCATTCATTCGTCTTTTTGACGAATGAATGAATAGATGAAATTACCGTTCGCATGTCCAAGTGTTTAACTGGGCATGTGTGGGAATCTCACAGGCTATCTAGTGTGGGCAGATGACGTGTCCCACAGGACTTCCTCTACCCACATAAAGATGGCGGCGCCCTGAATATAAATCCGGGCAGAAAATAAAGAATAAAAAATAGGTAATCTGGGGGGCTTAGGGGCATTTGGTGGTGACTAGGGGGGGGTTAAAAAAAAAAAAAAACAGGATTGGGACATGACAGTGCCGCTTTAACCCCAAGCCGAAATGAGCATGTTCATTTATGTTCATAATTTTTTATTCCGCCTGTGGTAGGTAATTAATGGTTTGGGGACAGTCACTAAATGCTTATTCGAGCAGGACCTTCTTGACCTCAAAATATACTGTTCACTATTTGCTGCGGAATATAATTGATAATATATTATGTATATATTTTGCAGTACACGAATCAAGGTTTTAGGTATTAAAATTCTGCCAAAGTCAAAACAACATACGGCTAAAATTCAGGGAATTGTAAAAATGTTTACGTGTTGTTTTTTTTTTTTTTTTAATTACCCACATTTTGTTTCTGAGCCAGAGACATCGACATCCTTATGGGAGATTTCAATGCCAACATTGGACCCAACAACACAGGGTGGGGGCCCTAAAAAAAGTCATGGGGATAAACAGGCTGGGTGTGATGAACGATAATGGGGAGAGATTTGCGGAATTGTGTGCGCTCAAAAACCTGGTCATTGGAGGTAGCATATTTCCTCACAAGCGGATCCTCAAAAACACCTGGGTATTACTGGATAGTGTGACAGAAAACCAGATTGACCACATCTGCATTAAAAAGAAGTTTATAAGATCCCTGCAGGATGTTAGAGTTAGAAGAGGAGCAGATGTGACGTCCGACCACCACCTAGTAGTAGCCAGCATGCAGCTGATGTTAAAGAAGAACTGGAAGGAAACAACACTGTGTAGAGTGAAGTATGATGTCCGCTGCCTAAGGATCACCAGCGTCAGGGAGGAGTTTGGACTTCAGATGAAGAACAAGTTCAGTTGAAGAACAAGAGCTGAGTTGCACGAGAAAGAGGAAAGAAGTGGCGTACAGGCCCGCTAGCAGACAAAAAAAGACACTGAGAACAGCCTGTCAAAAAGTGGTCGGAGCAAAGAAACATCACCACAAAGAGTGGATCACAGCTGAGGACTAGGGCAGAAAAAGCCAAGCCCCAAGTGGAATATGCAGAAGCCGTGAAGAAGAGCATTAGGAACGACAAGAAAGACTACATAGATGGACTGGCAGCTGAAGCAGAACAGGCAGCATACAACAGCAACATGAAACAGCTGTACGACATGACTAAGAAACTGTCTGGGAAGTACAGCAAGCCAGAACTACCTGTCAAGGACAAGGAGGGAAAGGTCATCACAGGACAAACGCAGCAGATGAATTGATGGACTGAACATATTGAGGAGCTCCTGAACAGACCAGCACCACCAAATCCACCAGACAACCCATCAACTGCAGCAAGCCGACTAGAGAAGAGATCGGGAAGGCCATCACCCTGATGAAGAACAGAAAGGCAGCTGGACCTGATGACATACCAGCAGAGGCCCTGAAGTCATCAGTGGAGATGCTGTACCCACTCTTCAAGAAGATCTGGGAGGAAGAAGAGATAACGACTGATTGGAAAGAGGGTTATCTAATCAAGCTTCCAAAGGAAGGTGACCTCAGCAACTGTAGCAATTACAGAGGTATCACACTCCTGTCAGTACCAGGCAAAGTCTTTAACTGGATCCTCCTAGAGCGGATGAAGGATGTAGTCAATCCACAACTATGAGATGAACAAGCAAGCTTCCAGCAGAATTGATCATGCATGGACCAGATTGCAACGCTGTGCATCATAGTCGAGCAGTCCTTGAAGTGGAACTCATTGCTGTACATTAACTTTTTTGACTATGAGAAGGCGTTTGACAGTGTGGATCGAGAGGTCCTATGGAAGCTCCTCCGGCATTACGGCATCCCAGCCAAGGTGGTCAACCTGATCAAGAGCTCATAAGAGGGAATGACCTGCAGAGTGATCCACGGAGGACAGCTTACCAATAGCTTCCAGGTGATGACTGGAGTCCGATAAGGATGCTTGTTATCCCCGTTCCTCTTCCTCATAGCCATTGACTGGATCATGAAAACATCCACCAGCGAACGCAGAAATGGAATCCAGTGGACCTTGTGGAGTCAACTGGATGACTTGTATTTTGCCGACGACCTCACTCGTCTCTTCCACAGCCAGCAGCAGATGCAAGAGAAGATCAGTGTGTTGGCAGCTACATCAGCACAGGTTGGATTCATCATCCACAAGGAGAAGACCAAGATCCTTAAGATCCTTAAGACCAACTTCAGCAACATCAACCCAATCACCCTAAATGGAAGTCCCCTGGACCAAGTACAGTTCTTTACCTACCTGGGCAGCATCATCGACCAGCAAGATGGAACAGATAAAAACCAATGTGTGAGCGCTATAAAATCTAATACAGATAGTATGGCAGCGCTCAAAATTACAATGCACAAAAAATGTGTAAAGAAAAACAATAGTTACCAAAAAAAGCGCGCTAAATTAATCTGTAAATATATAAAAAAATAAAAAAATAATAGTGCAGCATAATACACAGCATAACAGAATCATCAGTGGACATATCTTCTGGAATATCTCTGTGTGGGGATATCCCCTCTCCAAAGGAGCCTTGCAAACCCAGGGCCAGGGGTGATAGGGCTCTGGGATATGTGAGTTTTTTTCCCTCAGATTTTTCTTTATTTTATATTATTATATACTCAGATGGTCTGCACTTTTTTTTTTATATATTTACAGATTAATTTAGCGCGCTTTTTTTGGTAACTAAAGATGGAACAGATGCAGATGTCAAGGCAAGGATCGGCAAAGCAATGGTCGCCTTCATCCAGCTCAAGAACATCTGGGCTTCCAGAGAGCTAACCTTGACCACCAAAATCCAACTGTTTAACTCCAATGTGAAGTCAGTACTGCTGTACGGGGCTGAAACCTAGAGGACAACCAAAACCATCAACCTCAGAAGGATTCTCCACATTCGCTGGCAAGACACTATCAGTAACACCAACCTATGGGGAAGGAGCTGCCAATTTTCAGCAGAGGCAGAAATCTGGAAGAGAAGATGGGGCTGGATAGGGCATACCCTATGCAAACCACCAACCAACATCACTAGGCAGGTTCTCAGGTGGAACCCCCAAGGAAAGAGGAAGAGAGGCCGTCCAAAAAAAACACCTGGCGACACGACCTCGAGGCAGACATCACAAGGATGGGCCACACCTGGAGTCAACTAGAAAGAATGGAAAGGACAAAAGTCTCTGTAGTTTTACCTTTGGTGGCCCATACCCTGGGAGGGGTGGAGGGCGTAAGTAAAGTAAAGTAAACCCCCCTAGAAGTCTTATAGCCTTTGGGTATTTATTATCAAGGCAAAACCATTGCTATTAAATGTTGTATTGGTTTCCATAATGATTTCTTCTTATTTAGCCCCAGAATAGCACCTGGTTTTGCCTTGATACATTATATCCCCGTAATCTTTTATTTTAAATAAAAATGATTACAATTTTCTATGAAATATATAGAATATGCTAGGAATCTAATAGATGTATATTTTCTCCTGTTTTCTATGATGTGCCCACCGGCAGTCATTGCTAGTATGAGTATCAAGAATAACTTCTTGTTTTGGTAACAAGTTTTAACATAACTCACTGGATTTATATTATAATGACTTGCTGTGAGGTATCTGATTATAAAATATAGGAAATAGTATTTTCATCACAAGATGCATGATCTGAAAAGCAAACTGTTTATGTGAGAGGTCAACACTTTGAGGATTGAAGCATTACAGTTCATGAACTGTAATTGCGTTTGAGCAGGGTCCACTTCAACCTATCGTTCCTGTAAGTTTTCTTGTAATTGTCCTATTTATAGTTACACCCCCCTCTCATAATGTTGTAAAGCATTGCGGAATCTGTTGGCGCTATATAAATGGCAATAATAATAATAATAATGAGATGGTCTGAGTGTTAATTTCATTTTATGGCTGACATCATATTCTAGGGCAAAGTTTGAAAAGGACTGCCAGAGGTATAGTATAAAGGGTTTGGGGTACCTAGTAAATATTGTAACCGGTAGGCAGAAGTTAAACAAAAACCAGCTCTGGTCTAACGACGGAACCCTTAAAGTATACATATACCAATATTAAGTATATATTCAGTATTTCTATTGACTTCTTCAGCTAGTCTTTCAAGCATCTTATTTTGCTAAGTTTACTGTGGTTTGGAGAGACCTATGGATTTTCTTTCCCATTATTATATTCCTGGGCTATACACCTAGACTTCCCCCAAGGGCTCAATGCCTTCATTTGGAGGTTTGATATTGATGTGCCAGTAATACATATTTTCCTTGCAGTAGGAGACTTGCTGAAGGCTCATATATGGAGCTAAAATGTTGTTGTACCCGTTCCTGAAATAAATTGTTATTTTTGGTTACCATCCTTTGATATTTTTGTGTGCCCAGGATTTCTATTCTGTTTGATCTGTTAGGAACTTGCTGCCCTGCCTAGATACACCTAGGTGGATTTTATCCGTAATTTCTACTGTGTGCGTTTCCGATTTGGTGAAGAAATAATTTTTGTATGAATGAATATTCACGCTTTAATTGTCCTTCCATCTATTGTACACGATGTTTATTAAAGGTTAGCGTGCAGCATGCATTGGAACAGAGCACCAGATAGATAATAGAGAGAGTCACCCTTGTAACTTCACTAAACAATTATCAGCTCCATACTACAATATGTAAGAACAATTAAGTGTCTTATCGTTTTCCTAAGGGGACATTAAGCTTTTCAGTGTATTTTCTTTACATACATTCTGGATGCAGCCCAGAATATAATGTTCAGCTTGATAGGCTGCAGTAAGAATGGATTGTTAAATGGTGTCTTAAAAAGTTAAATGTATATAGCGGCATATGCTTTTACACTCATCGGAAAGACTTCTCTTGTCTGACTGAAGCTGTAATGTTGGCACTTACTATTTTTTTATTCTCTACCAACTTTTCTGCAAGGCAGTTCCATGACTCATTCTCATGTTTTTCTGGCTTTTATCCAGCTACGGAAAGTTGGGTTCATGAAGTTTACCGGTTGATAATTGGGTTCGTAATGATGGGTATTGAATATGTTTTTCCAGTCGCTCTTGCATTAAAGATGCAAGTGAATAATATGTTTATTCCGAGAGACTCTGAACAACCTAAAGGCATTACATTAGATATAAAGATATTCATGCATAACAGCTCCCAGCTGATTCATTACTTAGCAGTTTTGTCTCCCCCTAAAACTGCCCGGACTAAACTTCCTGTTGACCTCTGCTGATTCTACTAAGGGGTTCAACTTGGGGATGTTCCCTCATCTCAGAAGTTCTTATCCCTGTACCTACTACTAAAAAAATGTCAGACTTGCCCATCAACTTATCATGCACATCCATCCATCCAAACTATACCATGAAGCTGGTAATTTAATTATATTGAATATATAGAGGACAGTAAAAATCTAATAAACTCGATATGAATACGAAACAAAATGTACGGAATGATGACTGCAGAAAAGCTCAAGTTTGGTGAGTACATATTGAGCGTGAAGTTCCATGTTATGTAGAGACCATTTGTGGCTCAGTGTATGCTCTTCTTGCTCATAGAAAGGCACCTAAGATTGAGGAAACCTGCATTAAATTTTGATCACAAAGCTATATGTATTGCTCAAAATATGCATTTTCCCAGTTTCAGAGGCAAAAATCTCAGTGTAGATCTATTGTTTCAAAGAACTTGTGTCTTGGGCACTGCAGAAAATGTTAAGGATTCTCTATACAATAGCCTATTCTGCGCTGAAGGGGACACTGATACCATGAAACAGATCCCTTCCAGATCATCTCCTCAGTTTAAAGTGACAGTGATACACTAATACAAGCATTTGCAAAACTGCACGTTGATGAATATCCATTTGATTGAAAGAATGTACAGAAAGGCATCTCTAAAACTACAAGGTTTACGGACATGGCATTCTATTGTCTTGTTTTTGTTTTAATTATTTTTAAAAGACATCTGAATCCTGTTGAAACATTAAAGGAACACTTTAGGGTCAGGAACACAAACATGTATTCCTGACCCTGTAGTGTTAAAACCACCATCTAGCCCTCCTGGGCCCCTCATGCCTCCCAAAATCTTACTTGTATTCAAGCCTGAAGCTGCTGGCTCTGCCCTGTCTGCCTCAGACCAGCAAGCAGTCTGCTGACATCATCAGAAGTGGTAGCCTGATCCAATCACAGTGCTTCTCCATAGGATTGGCTGAGACTGACAAGGAGGCACATCAGGGGCAGAGCCAGCACAATTCAAACACAGCCCTGGCAAATCAGCATCTCCTCATAGAGATGAATTGAATCAATGAATGTCTATGAGGAAAGTTCAGTGTCTGCATGCAGAGGGAGGAGAGACTGAATGTTTGGATGCATTTTAGGCAGCAATGATCCAGGAAGGATCTCTAACAGCCATCTGAGCAGTGCCCAGTGAAGTTATCACTAGACTAATATAAACACTGCATTTTCTCTGAAAAGACCGTGTTTACAGCAAAATGCCTGAAGGTAATGTTGTTACTCACCAGAACAAATTCAATAAGCTGTAGTTATAGTGGAGCTGTAGTGTCCCTTTAAAGTACAATCTGGGTTGTTGTTTCCTCCCCCCCTCCCCCAGTTTGATAGTTGTGCTGTAATATTGTATTAATCAGTTTTTGACTCTTATGCAGCCATGTACAATTAGTAGTGCTAACTATCGTCTTCCAGATGGCTTTAACATCTCCAATGTTACAGGTATGAAAGTACCAGCTGGCTTTGTCAGCCCTCTCCCACGGGGTATGTGTACCATAAGTTGACAAATACTGTCCATGAGCGTATGTTCTTTTCACTGTACTATACATGTGCTGCTGCATATGCTTCTATATGCAATGGCAACAAAGTTATCATACCAACTTTAATTAAATAGTTCTAGAACTGCTAGAATAAAATACCACAGCCACATATATACATAGCAGCGGTAAGAACTCATAACAAGTCAGGCTCACAGCCTATGGTTCCCATTGCTTACTTGCTGCCATGCGTTCAGATTCAGTTTTGCCTGCTTTCTGCATGTCATGACTCACAATGTTGGGATTACTACAGAATGGACTTTGCCTATTCTGAGATGTCGGACCTTTAACGCCTTTCCACTTGCAGGATCTGGCTGTAGTAGACCAAAGCCAAGTACTCAGCCCTTGGAGGATGTTTGCTTTGAACCAACTACCTGCAGAGCCATCACCAACATTCTGGGTGGCTCTTGGGCCAGGTTGAACTTTACATTTTGCCATGGTACATAATTGACACCCAAGATTCCAATTCATGCATTAGTAGATAACGTCATTTTGGTTGCAAACTCAATTAACCGATGGTTGATCTGGCCCTTTCACTGGTAGGTGATTTTTTTTTTTTTACCTATCCAAATGGTTTTAGGAGGCTCCTATGTATTAGAAAAGTTTGAGACTAATGAAATCTTACGAGGGTGTATTTGGTCTTTTGTGTCCAGGAAGCACCTCTGAGGATGTGAATATTGGGTATTTCAGATTTACACAGGCTTACTTTAAGCAGGCAGCACATTTCTGAGTCACTCAAGATCAAGCAGACAACGGGGTTCCAGTTACTTTTAACAGATTGTTTTTCCAATATTCTCATTTAAAAAAATGTCTTGATAAATTAGCAATCAAATGATATTTGCAGACCTGTATACCTTGCTGAGAACAGATTGTATATAAATAATGGTTCTAATATAGTCTTTTTGTTTATCATTTCTTTTTATTTTGCTATTGAAGTGCCAAACCTGAGAACCACTTTTTGTGGTTGAGAAATTCTGATTGCGTTGAAAGTATCTGCACATTGCAGGCGAGAACACTCATCAAAGAGCTTCATGGGTTTCTCAACTTCTTACTCAACTACATCCTACCCTGTGCCACATAGACCTGAGTAAATATTCCTCAAAAGTGAATAACATTTTATTTCACTTTAACAAGAGAATATAAAAGTGAAAAAAGGTCACCGTTGTAATAGACTAATCTCAATTATCAGGGCAGCCTCTGAAACCCTCAACTCCTACCTAATCTCATTCGGTGCACACGCAGCGCACCGTGCGATTTCCAACACGGCTAAATGAAATTATAAAGCAGTGTTAAATTTATTAATCATTTAATTAGCTAAATGTTCCTGCAACTACGCGAGAGATGAATGGCATGTCATTTTCTAATGCAATTTGCCTTGCAGCCAGGCTGGGGCAGAAAAGAAGCTACTGGCATCTGAAAATGATCTTTTTTTTATATATATATTAAACATCTTTTTTTCTTCTTAAAGAGTGTAGAAGCAGGCAGAATTCCATGTCTGAATAGTAGTAAGGATATTATAGGTGCTATAAAAGACTGGCTACTGAAGCAAATGGACCCGTATGTGGTCAGTCCAATCTATAAAAGCAATTCATTTATAGAACCCACTTACCATTCTATTGTCTTAACGATCAACACAAACTCATGTATTTTTGTAAAACCGATACACTGACCTGATGTTTAGCAACACACCTGCTAATCTTCCCAGCCCACCTTCCAGGATAGAGGTGGGCAGGGAACAGAGGAGACTGTGTACGGTACTGTGGAGGTGGTGGGTCTGCCAGAAGATTTTTGTCTTTGAAATCTGCCAGAAGATTTTAAAATGTGGGGTAGGTCCTATTTTTACTGTGACAATTCCCTAGAATGCATAACTGTCCTGGCAAATTTGGATTTGCTGGCACCTATGGCTTAATATGTCTTGGCCTGCAACCAGTACTTTACTTGTGTAGTCAACAGTATAGTTTTTAATGGGCTGTCTCCATCTGGAGAATTTAAACTGCTACCAGGAAAACCTTTTTGTGTAATTTTCTTTAGAAATGGGAGATTATTATTATTATTTATAAAGCGCCAACAAGTTCCTTAGCACTGTACAATGGGTGGACTAACAGACACGTATTTGTAACCAGAATAACATATAGATAGATATTTTAGCATTATCGTATGTATGGCTGGATTATTTATTTTATACAAATTGGGTCTGTGCAAATATATGATGGATTAAGATATTCCAGAGTGGTATATTTGTGTTTGATGTACACCAGGAATGGTTGCAAACATGCTTCTCTGAATCTCCACCAGATTAAAAAATGTTCGTGATTAGGCTTGAGCCTCCAATCTCATGTTGGAGGGTCACACATTCTAGAGTTTACACCCTAATATTTTTACAATAACTTTAATTGGACCTTCCAGTGGTGATCTAGGCATGACCATCTCCGACTCCTGGGTTGCTACAGGTTTCTCAAAACCTACTTAAAGGTCATATGGTTAAATAAGAGAACACCTAAAATGTACAATATATAATATGGTGTACCTTTCAAATGTTCTTTAAGAATTTTGCTGTGGCTAGTTTTGAGAAGTTCCCAGGTGCGCTTATCTCGAGGTCTGGAATCACAAAATTACTTATGAATTGTAGCAAAGTGAGTGAGAACACAGGTGGTTCTAAACTCACACATCTTCCTGCCACAAGATCTCTCATCAGATACTAACTAAAACCGAGCTAATTTCCCACCTTCATGTTATTTAGCTTCACCACTCTACCAGTTGTTTCCATTCACCCCTTCCTTCCTTCCTTTTTTTTTTTTTCTTTCATCAAGGCATAGCCTACCCTTTTCACCACTACTCACTGACATTTTAATATTAGTTCCTTCTGTACTTAAATATTACATCTCTTGTTTGGACTACGAAAAACATAGGTGGAACATAAACGTTTGAAAACAAGTAGCAACAATTCCAAATAAAATCCCCTTAAATCTGTCTGAATAAACATTGGGATTCCAGTTGAATGCATATAGGTGGTAAATTCTATGAATCTTCCTCTATCTTATTAGTAGACATAATGCGGTCTCAGAATCGATGATCAAGGATTACCACAGGGATACGTTTATAAGATCAAACCTGCTCTTTGAAGACTGGTTTGAGAAAGGCTTCCTTGAGAGGGCACTAACATGCCTCTTATTCTTGACAAGTTATCAACTGGTATCTATCACAGGAATTCTGACATTTAACCGGTGTTAACAGTGTGATGCAAGACTTAAGATCAGAGATCTCAAACTCTATCACCCCAGATATCAACTGCCTACAACTCTCAGAATTCTTTGAATTCAATAGATGGAAAGAGAAGCCTAAGTTTTGCTTTACATCAAACCTCCTGACTTCGTATATCTTAACAGGTCAGAGTGGATCATGTTGAGATACTGTCAATGTCATTCCTGGAGACCCACTGCAAATGGACAGAAAGATCGGCTCTCCCATATTCTGGGTCTTGCTGCAGTTGGAGTATCCATAGTATATTTCAAAACTTCAGAATTAACTCCTCAATACTATTAGTGCTCTAAAACATATATAAAAAGATTGCAGGACAATAGGTTGGCCAGTCTTAAAATGAGTGTGTGCTAGGTCGTTATCACTCTATCACAAATAGTCTAATTCCTTGTTATAAAGCGTTAACAGATTATTGTAATATTCAAGTTGAACTTTACAATGTAATCTAAAGTCATTGTACTTTGCACCCTGTGCGCAGATCATAGAAAAGTGTGTCCTTTGTTAAAGGCAATTTTTTAAATATCCCTGCAGATTATCTAATTTATCAAGCTGTCTATGTTGGCCAAACAATATGCTTAAACACACAAATCTGCACCAGAAAAGCCACTGCTTAATGAACTATGATGTCAAACAACGGAATATATTTATATTTTTTGTTATGAATCTTTTATTCTTTCTTCTAAGGTCAGTACCTGTTTATATGTTGTCCTCCTTTCTCATCCAGTGTATTTATAAACGAGTTTAGACACCTGCGTTTATCGTGACAATGTTTTTTTTCCCCTCTTTTTCTTGAATGCAGATATTATAAGCTTTATAATAAATGCATCGTGGCACTCCTTGCCAATATGACAGTGTAAGGTCATTTTCCTGTTGGAAAGGGTCATTTTCAGATCCCAATGAAACAGTTTAGGAATTTATTAATTCACAATCTTCCTTTTTTTTTTTTTTAGTCTTTCAAATAAAATATTTGTTACAGTACATCTATCATACATGGACGCTCTTTATACAGTTGTGCAGTCAATAGAAATGTGTTTTTATTATTGGAACTTAGAACATTTCTATCACGTTTTCACTTGCTTTTGTAATGTCTTTACACTTTTTGATTCTGTTTTTGATATTTGTAAAAAAACAAACAAAACATATTGGAGGAGAGTTGTGATCGCACACAAATAAATATTAAATACTAGAGAGCTAATTATGAACATAGCAGGGAATGTTGATAAACTACAAAAACATCTTTGTTCTCTTGCACAAGAGATTGAATTTTCATAGGTGGTAGAAGTAGCGCCTACGTCCGGTGGGTAAGGTTTGATCGGAGAGTGGGCAGGAGCCGGATAATCTGCACAGAGTGGATAGCCTTAACCAAATACTCTTACCAAATACACGTAATCATCACAGGGTCGCTTGGAATGCTCAATGTCAATATCAGAAAGCATCTTGATGTATTAATTAAGAGTGCTGTGATTACTTTGTAATAATGATGGCATACAATTCCCGAATGACTGCACATTTAGCTTTTGTCTCCTATTCCTGGTAGGTTATAACACAAGCATGCTGTTACGCACTGATCTAACTGATCTTGGTGGAGTGTGATCCGTGGTTGTGCTGCTCATTAACCCTTCGCTATCATTGAATTACATGAGCTCTATCCGGAATAAAAAGGTTAATGGGATATAAAGCAGCCCAGGCTGGAAAAATGAGTGGCCATCTTCTCTTTTATTTTTCCCGAAGTGCTGCCCTTGTGGCTGACTGGCTGACTTTGAGGTCCTCATTATTGTGGGTTTAAATGAGGGATGTTCACTCAGGCAGGGAGTGGGGGAGGTCAGCAGCCAGAGACATTGTTATCTGTCCATTCTATCAGGGCTAGTGACAGGATACTGAAAAGGATGAATACAGAATCTCTCACTGGAGACCTCGGCCTGACACTGAATGTGACTCCCCTGACTCTAACCTTGAGAGGGAAAAGTTCCCACTTTATTAAAATGAATTTTCGAAAAGGGCCTCTCTGACAGCTGCATAATTAAATATCGGAGCGTCAGTGATAATTTATTCTGATCACATTTGGTGGTCAAAAGCCTCGCTTGCTGTAGGGTCAGCGGCGTGTGCCATGAGACAGCCAGGAATATCAGAGACATCAGTCTTGGAAAAATATAGTAGTTTAGCTCTAATAAAATGATATAGAGCCATCACCGCTATGTGTAACTAAAAGCTCTTGAAAGTTTTGTTGCCGAATGCAATATGACATTGTCATATTGAAACCCTTAAAGTGCCCGGTGCGTCAAATACTTTTTGCATACTGAAACTCCCAGAGACCAGCATGCTCTGGCACCCAGTGACATTGCTCATATCAGAATCAGGTGTAAATATTGTTAAATATATAGATTATTGCATGGTGGGATGTAAAAAGAAATAAACTCGCTCCAAGTTAGGATGGGTTTTGGGTTTAAAGGACTTTAAAGGGACACTCTAGACCGCTAAAGTTTTTAATTTTGCAGAAACTGCAGATTTCAATTGAAATTGACACTTTTATAATTTAAAAGGATGCTATAGTCACCCAGACCACTTCATCTAATTGAAGTTGTCTGGGTTCAGTGTCTCTGTCACACTTAGTACTGCAATGTAAATCATTGAGAAACCGAAATAATTAAATTGCAGGACTAAGACTGCCTCTAGTGGTCGTCAATTAGGCATGAGGACACCCAGCGTCTACTAACTTTCCATAGGAAAGCATTAAAGCAATGATTTTTTTATGGGAAAGACCTAAAGTGCTCACGGCCCTTGCCTCGCATTATCCACCCTCTGTCGAGCAACATCAGAGGAGGCGGAGTACCAGCACAGTGCCGATGGACATTTGCGTTGGAATCGGGTAAGTGTTATAAGGTTTTTTTTAACCCTTGCAGAACCGGGGGGAGATGGGGCTAGAGGGAATTACAGTGTAAGGAATACATATTTGTATTCCTTACACTATAGAATCCCTTTAACCTTGTTAAGCAGACAACTGCTCTTGTTACTTCCTGGTAGTTTAGCTCAGCGAAGCTAAAGAGTCAACAATTGCTCAGAGCACCTGGCAAAGACTCTTTATTGAGCTGCACTGGGAAGTGTGTGATTGGACAGATACAGAAAGTCTGGATGGGATTAAAAGGGGAGGGCTTGTAAAGCGGCAGACAAGAGAATTGCAGCTTTTTTCATATACCCGCAATGAAAAAATTCATAATTAAATGCATGCAAGTTTTCATTTGGGGTATATATAGTAAATGGTTATTTATTTATTTATTTTGTATTTGGGCAGTGAAGTGTCCCTTTAAGTAAAAAGACTTATGAAGACCTGTCATCAATGTATGTATTAGTTTGGTCCCTATTACAAGCAACTTCATTCTTGTTTTTTTATAAATTGAGCTTATTATGGCCATACATTTGTGCGCTGTCTGCGGTTAGACGCCATAGACTTCCATTGCTCATTGCAAGTCATGCTGCCATTTACCATTGTGATTGATGGAATATGGAAAGGGGTGAAGACAAAATCTCTGTAACATTACCACATGTTATCAAAACCGCCTTTCACCATAAAACAAAATAGTCCCTAATTTGAATATTCAATACAATACAAAAAAAATCATAAGACAAAGTCCAACGCATTCTTAGAACCTTTATAAATAAGTAAACGTTTGTGAAAAACGAAACATTCCTGCTTCAACGTAGCTCAACGGTCCTGGGTGTTACTGGGATCGGGGATGTGTAAAGGACGGAACTTGAGAGGCTTGAGTCTTTTTTCATTATTTGACTATCTCATTCAATAATTATCTTTCAGCTTTTTTGAATATGCTTCCATTGTACCACATACCAGTGCATATTCTCTCACATAGAAATTGTACTTGCTTAGTATAATAAAGATCTGTAATTTGATACGCAAAATATATGCATGTTTAGTTCTGGTGCAATATATATGTTTTGATAATAAAAGTAGCCTGCGAGTCGCCCTGTTGGATTCAAAGAGAGGTTACAGTAGCAGTGCAGGGTGTGACACTGTAAAGGGAGCTGTAGATAGCCGTGTGGCTAATCTTTAAATGTAAACAACGCCACGGATCAAACAAAGCTTTGGGTTTTTTAATCATATCACAGACAGACAGGCTAGGTGGGCCGTGAGTCCTTATCACCTCTTACCTTCTGGTTTCTGAAACTATTATTGAGTTAAGTGGCTGGAAGAAAAGTAAAAAAATTTCATTGAGTTTAGTCAGTGATGTAATTAAGATCAAACCTACTCTTAAACGCACCCCTCATCTACGGCAGCGCTGGACATACAGTCTTGTGACAAAATATTCTTGATTTAGTCTATTTTTGCATACTTGCCATATTGAATGGTTTTCAAATCTCCATACAAAATGTAATACAAGACTAGAGAATTGCAATAAACACAACATTCAGGTTTTTAATGATAACTTTATTTAAGGGGGAAAAAAAATTACCCACCAACAGCTGCCTCTCCTTTCGTTACTCATTCAATCCATTAACCAAATTTAATTGATCATTGGATTCAATTAGCGCACACACACCAAGGCTGCTGTCACCCCTGTTCAATCTAAACACGACTTACATAAATCCTTACCATCAGTGTGAAGTAGGCTACACAACTGAAAACTGCATCAAACATTTTGTAAGAGATAATAAAAATACAGATATACATCAGTCAGGATTTCCACGTCTCCGGGACTCAGGAGCCACACGTTTCCATTTGCTTAAGATTAGTGGGAGTTACTCCCCCCCAACAGCAGCTGCCACCATTTTAGTTCAGCCCTCTTCTAAGCTGAATCCATGGTCCCACTATTATTGATTAATCCGCTACATGAATGTCATAGTGCCACATTGAAAATGTAGAAGCACTTACACTAATACTTTGAGAAGCTAATATAAAGCTCATATAATGCCGTCCATTAGTTTTGGAGACATTCATACACTTCTGGATTTTTAATTTCAGAACCCGCCAATTACCGTACATTACTTTAACCATAATGCATAGTTCATGGTTTACTGGTCAGTAGGAGGTCAGTATTGGCCCGGAGCTGCTCTGAAGTATCGGTACCTGCCAACCATTCCCATTTTGGCACCATGCCCTTCCATTCTGGGCTATTTATGTGGAAAGTCCTTCCTGGTTCTGTACAATAACATATATTACACAAGAATAAATATACATAAACCAATACATATGTAGATTAAAATTAGTAATTCGTCTACATATACTGCATTACTATATCTGTATTCTGTTCAAATTTGTTTTATGACCAGCTCTAGGATAAAAAACACAGAATTATAAGGTTTTCATAAGTAGTACAGAACATTTCTCCCTCAGTGAATCTTATGTAAACATATTCTTTGTTGATTTCTTAAAAATAGTAAATATAATAAAAAATAAATAAAAGATTATTATATACTGTTTTTATTATTTAACAGAAAACAATTAATATTAATGTGTTTTGGATTTTTTTTGTCATCCGAGTATAATAAACTTTAGATTTTGTTTTATTATTTAATACAAAACAATTAATATCAATGTGTTTTGTTTAAAAAATAAATAAATAAAAAATCCTAACGATTTAATTCTTTCATATTTAAACAATTTCCAGAATTATTCTGAGTGGACTTAATTTATCTTGAACTCCACACTACTTTTTGTTTTGCTGAGTTTATGGGAAAAAAAATGTTGTTAAAACAATATATCAGAGTGTCTCAGCATAACAGATAGGAGATGACCAACGGCTATCAATTAGGGCCAGTGGCTTGGGCAATGAGTGTCATGACGGAGCTGTGGGGGGTGCTGCGTAACATGGGTCACTAACTAGCCTCCCATCCTCCTACCTACAGAAAAACACTAAAGAAAGCAAAACTGACTGAGTGGAACTCATAGATGTAGATAATTGACTATTAGATTTCATTATCTCATATTTCATCACTTCCTATTTGATATCAAAGGTCTCTGATATATGTAGGAATTTGTGTAAATTATATAGGTCCGTCATCATTTAAAAAAAAAGAAAGATAAAACAATAATAGTGGTGTCAGTTTTATTCTCATCTTTACTCAGAATGAAAATCCACTCTCCTATTTTGTAGTGCTCCTAATTTGGTCTCTACTAACAAATGTGTAGATAGTTATTTGATGCGAAGTACTTACTTTAGATGGACATAGTGTGACCACAATCTGAGCTATGCTTCCGTACGTGAAGAGAGAGACATAATTCATGAGAAATAATTCCTGCTTTTATGTCACAGTTTATATTCACTCTATATAAAGTGTGATTTTCTTTTTTTTTTTTTTTAAGTGCTTTTTGAGTTAAGTGAGAGGATGGTTAAGCACCTAATTTGCTCACTTTTCTTGATGTTTATGGTCTCACTAGACCTAAAGATATTTGAATGTCACGTATGTTCAAGCAGGGGTTTCACATATAACATCCAATCGGGAGACTCCACTCTAGTCCGCTCTAGACTATGAGACCCTGAGATTAAAACCACTGAGAGTGGTTGCAAGAAAAGTGTTAAAGTGTAGGGATATGAGTATACTGATAGTATCAGCAGTATAGCTGCTGTCAGTTTACAGAGCTCTTTTAAGTCATAAGTGTAACTACTTGTGGGGATAAACTACCTATTCTAGAAATTCCTCTGCAGAAATGTACAGGGTAACGTTTTATTCCTGGGATTCGGGGGTGTCTGTTGGCAGCTAATCAGAGCAATGAGGGGAATTTGTAACTCTAGTAAAAAAAAATTTAAAATAGTTATTGCATTATTACTTTCATGCATCATAAATGGTGTCATTTGACCCATTTTCTTATTAGATTTCAACCTTAGTAACAATAACCCTGTTCCTGTAAAAAAACCTTCTACAAACTCAGCCTTAGCGTTGTTCTAGATATTGTTGGCTCTTATTAAGCAGAACTTTCCATAATGATGTTAGCTGTTTTAGGCTTGGACTATAATAGCTGGACATCAGTTGTCATCAATGTTTTTTTGGCTTAATTCTAGAATTGTGTGTTTTGGACCATACTGGGTTAAAACATTCAGGAGATATAATATCACATGACAGCTCACAGACAATATTGATCCGTGCTGTGTTCCTGGGCAGAACTGGATTGTGATGTCATTTGCTATGTTTATAAATTCGAAATAAAACAAAGCGTCATGGGAAAGAAAAGTTCAACACAGGTTATAAGTTATTTTCAATGTTTTATTTCAGTGGTGTATTTTTAAGAAAAGTGGCTGCTTCCTGTTGGGGACAATACTAAACTAATTTCCTCCTAGTATAAGAGAGTGCTAGAACCACCTCCCCCAGTTTAGAAGTGTACTGATACCTTATTTCCTCCCGTATAGGAGAGTACTGTAGTATTGGGGTATACGGTATATTTTTGGGGGGATTCTTGACATTGTAGAATACCTGAACATAAATAAATCACTGATTAACCCTGTGATCAATGCAACCCGATCAGATTGAACTGTTCGTTATATATAGATTGATGATAATGTTTGAGTCCATTGATCCTGCATTTACTGGGGAAAAGTATAATGACAGATTAAAAGGGTTCTGTAGCCAGGCACGGCTTGTTCGTGTGCATTATTAAATAAATTCAGAATGATGCTTGTATGGGCCATGTACAAATTACATAGCTCGCTACCCATCAGGACAGGGTAGAAGGAGCATAATTCAGTGTAAGTACCATTCTCTTTTCTATTACCTTCATTACCAAGGTCATACTAATCAACTCAATTACCAGTTCTCATAGACATTTTCATAATGTTTTCTGCTTGTTGCTCTCCCGTGAAAACCTCACAACCCAGCCTTAATGAATGCTATTTTACCACCCACTGTGCTTATCACATTGACCATGTAAACCTTATTAGAACCAGACAAACTTGAGACGTGCTCCCAGCAATTCATTGTCCTGCCTTTAAATTAAGCCCCTTGTCAATGTCTGTTGGTGTCATTCACAATATGGATTCTGTTTCAATAAAAGGAACACTCCAAGCAAAATAACCAGTGCAGTCTGATGCAGTGGTTATGGTGCAAGGATTGCCCTAGCACCGTCCCTTAGTAGGTAATCAAACCATTTAAGAACAATTTGACAACTTACCTCAGTTCTGCTGGGTGTACTACCACATACCGTCCTTGCTACCAGAAGGCCCTGGTAGACGTTTCCAGTAAGCTCCACTGAGCTAAGCCCGGCAAAGCTGCGCTTCACTTATTAGCCAAGAGCATTAACTCATCACATCTGGGCTTAGTGCAATGGCAGGAGCCTCCAGCAACAAGGGAAGTTGGTGGGTGAACAGAAGGAGCCAGATAAGTTGTCAAACCATTCTTAAAAGGTAAGGCTACTTACCGTGTTTTATATACTGTAGTGGTTATGGTGCTTTGAGAATTCCCTTTACTGTACTTGGTTGCTTAATTTCCTTAAGAGTCTAAAATAATATGTGAACTATAGTAATGTTTTTTATAGAAATATCATAGTCTTGTATTTGTATTCATTTGTTTATTTTAATTGGGGGGTGGGTGAATAACCACTTCCCTTCCAATTCAGTGGATAGATGAGGCTAGATTTGGTTTTACAAAGTGAAGCACAATGAAATCTAAATAATAAACCAAAACTTTACCTTTCTAGTTCCCTTCCAGACCTTCCTTCCTTCACCTGGAGAAAAAAACATTTTTTCATGTGGATACCTCTCATTCAAACTGCTTTGATGATAGGGACTTATAACTACCTGTCACCCCATATAAATGCCTGTCACCCCAATGGAACTAGAAGGTAAAACATAATGGCTGCATGCATGGAATGGGAGTAGTTGTAGAAAATGATGGATGCATGGAATAGCCTTCCAGCTGAAGTAGTAGAGGTTAACACAGTAAAGGAGTTTAAGCATGCGTGGGATAGGCATAAGGCTATCCTAACTATAAGATAAGGCCAGGGACTAATGAAAGTATTTAGAAAATTGGGCAGACTAGATGGGCCGAATGGTTCTTATCTGCCGTCACATTCTATGTTTCTATGTTTCTACACTGCAATCAATTACAAAGGTTACAATACCATGTATAATACAGTTGCCTGGCTCTGTTCAGGCAGCAGTACTTACTTTACATCCCCATGGGTAACCAACCAGAACTGCCCATGTGCAGAGAGCTGTTTAAGAGGGAAATGCTCTTAAACAACTTTGTGCAGCTGCCAACGCGTTTAATAATATCCTTTCCTTGCACTTTGTGGGTGCTGCACTGGGACTATCCCATGAGATCTGGGACAGTTAGTAACTATAACTTTTTTCTGTGACTACATTGCTGTTGCTATGGTCACCTATACTGAAACTCTGTTAAGCAGATATCCAATAAAATCACTATAACTATATGCATATGCACTCTTGACATCAGATATTCCATTAATTTCCATGGCGATTGCTCCACTTTTTGAACTTTGGCCTAAAATTGGTCTTCATACATAAACCCACTGGTGTCATATGTGTAATTTCCTGTCAAATTGAAATTATATTTATTCTGGCCTGTATTATATAAAAAGAAAATAACTTTGTCCCTGCAAAATAGCTGAACAATAAATGGAAATTTGGCACATTTACTTTCAACAAATGATAGTCTAGGGCCTCGTCCTTCCAGCTGTTGTTGACCTTGTTTTAATATGTATTTATAAAGCACTGGACAGGGTTGTGGTTTACTTAAACAGACAGAGCTGCACAAATTAAAGATACCTAGCTACCATTTACTTTTTAAAGGGCTACTCATCTCATTGAAGTGGTCTAGGTGCAGTGTCCCTGTCCCCTTAGCCCTGCAATGTAAAACACTGCCGTTTCAGAGAAACTCCAATGTTTACCTTTAAGGGCTAAAACTACCTCAAGTTGCTGTCTACAAGACAAGCCACTAGAGGTGCTCCATGACCCTTTAAACTTACACCGAAATCAGGGCCGGTGCAAGGATTTTTGCCACCCTAGACAAAAGCAAAGTTTGCCTCCCCTCCCACCCCATGTGACATCACAATGCCCCACCCATATGATCTGCCATATGAACCAACGTCAGTGCTGCACACAGTGTGCGTTTACATTAAAAAGCCTGTAGAGACAGATTATAGAAACCAGAACCACTACATTAAGTTGCAGTGGTTCTGGGGACTATAGTGTTTCTTTAATGTGAGGTAAATTAGAAATTAGTGCCACGAATAATATACTAGATTGCCTACTTACAAACAGATGAGGATGATGATGGGCTCTAGCTGCAGTCTGGCTCCACTGGTCTGGTGTAGAACAGGCTCTCTGGAGGCTGTTTGTAACTGCGGTCACAAAATTCAATGTTCTGGGAGAATTGGAAGCAGATCCGTTTTTTGGGGCCCCTTACACAACTCAAGGTCTGGGCCCCAGGGCCTGACGGTGAGAATGCCCTTAAGGCCCACCCATAAGTCCACCTATGTTCGTTCACAGGAAGTGGAGTCCATGTTCATTCACAGGAAGTGGAGTGTGTAGGGGATGTGTTATGGTAGAGTATCTATTATGGTAGAGGATCTAATGTGTGTGCTTATAGAATGTAGTGTATATGGATACAAGTTTGTGTAGGTGATGCAGTGTTTTTGTGTGTAGTGGAAGCAGTGTGTTTTTGTGTAAGGGATACAAAGAAGTGCGTGTTTGTGTATAAGGGATGTATTGTGTGTTTCTCATTGTGTGTAAGGGATGCATTGTGTGAATCTGTGTTTGTATGCATAAGGGATGCAAAGTGTGTTTCTGTGTATGTAAGGGATGCAGTGTGTGTGTCTGTAGGGGTGTGTCGAGTGTGTGTAAGAGATGCATTGTGTTTCTGTGTGTGTGTAAGAGAAGCAATGTGTGTTTGCATGTGTGTGTAAGTGATGCATTGTGTGTTTCTGTGTATGTGTGCAAAGGATGCATTGTCTTTATGTGTTTCTCTGTGTGTAAGGGAAGCATGTTGTGCATCTGTGTGTGTAGGGATGCATTGTGTGTTTCTGAGTATGTATAGGGATGTATTGTGTGTGTGTGTGTGTGTGTGTACGTAGTGTGAAAGAGATCCCTGTCCTGCCCCCTGTCCTATAGAGCTCTCCCTCCCATCCCTTAGAGATCTCCCTTGCCCCTTAGTGGTCTCTCCTCCTCCCCACCTCCCTTAGTCGTCTCCTTTTCTCCCCGACTTTCCATTAGTGGTCTCTCGTCTCCCCCTTAGTGGTCTCTGCTCCTTTCCATTAGTGGTCTCCCCCCCACCCTTAGTGGTCTATCCTCCACCCCCCTCCCTCCCTTAGTGGTCTCTCCACCACCCCCTCCCTCCTTTAGAGGTCTCTCCCTCCCCCACGTTCTCCTCAACCCCCCCTCCTTTAGTGGTCTCTCCCTCCCCCACGTTCCCCTCCTTTAGTGGTCTCTCCTTCCCCACGTTCTCCTCAACCCCCCTCTCCTTTAGTGGTCTCTCTCCTTCCCCCGTTCTCCTCAACTCCCCCGTGTTCTCCTCCCTTCTCCTCTTCTCCCCTGCCCCTCCCTGTAATCTTCTCATCTTCTCCCCTCACCCCTGTAATCTTCTATTCTTCTCCCCCCACCCCTGTAATCTTCTCTACTTCTCACCTCCCTCCCTGTAATCTTCTCTTCTTCTCACCTCCCTCCCTGTAATCTTCTCTTCTCCCCCCCTTGTAATCTTCTCCACTCTCCCCCTGTAATCTTCTCTTCTCCCACCCCCACCTCCCTGTAGCGAGGCCGAGCTCCTCTCTGGTCCGCGGTACAGGAGCTTCTGTTTCCTGTACCCGGCTGGACTGATAGGAAGTGCACACTGAGTGTGCACTTCCGGTCAGTCCGGCTGGGTTGCGGACCGGAGAGGAGCTCGGCCACGCTACAGGAAGGGGAGGTGAGGAGAGAGGCAGTACGGCAGCCGCCTGAGCGCTCTCTTTAGAGCGCTCAGGCGGCTGCAGTGTTTAAAGGCCTGGCGATGAGGGTCTGCCTAGTTCGCCTTATAGGAAGCGCCGGCCCTGACTGAAATAATAAGAAACCTATGTCCCCTGTGCTGACTGAGGATGATATGAGGTGTAGTAACTGCCACATGTCTTTAACCCCTTAAGACATGTGTGACAGTTACAAATATATTTGGGGCCAATACAAACCATTGTGTGGAAATCTATTCACAAACCGGACTTTACATAGCCATGCATTTAGACTGGAAGAAAGAAGATTTCGTCTAAGGCAAAGGAAAGGTTTTTTTACTGTAAGAACAATCAGGATGTGGAATTCTCTGCCTGAAGAAGTGGTTTCATCAGAGTCCATACAGATGTTCAAACAGCTACTAGATGCATACTTTGAAAAACAGAATATTCAAGGATATAATCTTTCAATGTAGGGTAATAACTGCTTGATCCAAGGATAAATCTGACTGCCATTCTGGGGTCAAGAAGGAATTTTTTTTCCTAGCTTGTTGCAAAATTGTGCTTCAAACTGGGTTTTTTTGCCTTCTTTTGGATCAACAGCAAAAAACAAATGTGAGGTAGGCTGAACTTGATGAACGCAAGTCTCTTTTCAGCTATGTAACTATGTAACATGACATGAGTGACATGTCATGATTCCCTTTTATTCCAGAAGTTTGGTCCTTAAGGGGTTTAAGTGTAATGGTTTTTGCAAGGGACAGTTGCTCACCCCATCACTTCAGTAACTGCTGTTATTAAATCCGCTATAAATTCTATGCTCACAATGGCAACCTTAAGAAACCCAGTTTAATTGTCTACACTATAAAGCCAAAACTCTGTACTCCCATTAAAGCAAAAAAAAAAAACCACCACCTATTTGATAAGTGCCGTAATTATAAATACAAAAAGAAAAGTTCTGCGCTCAAACTCCCATCACTCCTGGGCGGCAGCAACGGCCACAGTACACATCAGCCCCAATACATACAGCAAAAATCAAAGAAAAAACATTATCTGTGCTCTCTCCTAAATCCCTATACATATTTAAACAAATGGAGGTTATTTATTTACTCTAATGACCATTGGAGGGAATGCCCACCTGCCACATCAAGGCAGACCCCGTAGTTGGGGGGGTCCTACGCTGACCCTTCACCTTGCTTCCTTGAGCTTCTGGCAAAGATATCTCTAATGAGACAGAGGGGGGTATTTTTTTTATATAAACCCCTTCATACTTATTAACCCTTAATAGGGAACACATGGGATGGGCGGCAGTACCGTAATTATGCTCAGATATTATTTAGCCCTTTTGGATGTTTCACATAGCAACATTTCAATTATTTGCACTGTTGTCCCAGAATTAATTACATATTATTGTTCAGGACTAAGAGACATTTCAGGTGTGGAAACGGTGGCACATTTTCCCAAAAATGTATCTGTTAAATTTTTATTTTTTTTAATATAATTATTTCTACTCCTTAATATCTTGTTAAGAATTGCCATACCAGGAAACAAAAAAGGTAATCTCAATATTACCACTCTTGTTTTGTAGTTATTTCTGCACAAGTTGGAAACACTCCGTATGCACCTTGTTACAAAATGGAGTCCGCCCATTCTCTCAGTCGCTGCTGTATACCGACATAATAAGCAGTGATCACCGTAGACAGCATAAAATGTTTGTTTCCCAGATATAAGGAGCATGTAACCGGCGTGCGTGAAATCATTGCACACTGATATTTTTCATACTGTCAGATGTTCCCTTGAAAATAGAGGTCTCTTTTGCGAGCCCTGTGTAATTAGTTAATTGGTGAATTCACTGGCTCATTACACCCAGTAGTTGTGTAGAGCAGCAGGTCCCAAGGTATATCCCTGCAGAGAAACACTGTCATAACTAGTCATTGTGAGATGAAAAAGGCATATGGATTTCAAAAGGATATGGCAGCGGAACAATAACCCAGAGCTCCCGGAGAGTTCAACGTAGTAGTTGACTTTATTCATTTATAGATTGGAGCGCTGTAGGTAGGAGACACTCAAAGCCTAACTAAAATAAATATTCCCATCAATTTTTTATTGAACTGCTGCGAGAAGACAGGGTAGCATCTATTAAAGTAAAGAAATAAAAAAATTGTATTGCTGCTAAATTTGATTCTTCGACTGCATTCCAAAGCTGAGCTAACATGTGAAGTCATCACACCAAGACTTCATTTGTTCTATTTATTGAGCAAAAAAAAGTAGCCCAACAATGTTTCAATCCCCTGTTGGAGCTTCTAAAAGGTGCGTTAATGCCACTTTTTAGATCTATATTTGTCAGCTTCTCAGAGCTCATATTTCTTCCTCCTTTATGCACCGTCAAGTCAACGGCACATACATAACCCTTATTCCACAAGCTCGCTCCATTGGAGTTATTTTTGACCCTGGGCCTGCAGCCAGTGTCTGATACAAGCTAATTTCATTCTAGCTCATGATATAACCAAAGCACTGGAATACATCCAATCCTGCATTATGGGTCTCCAATATACCAGTATTAACCAAGTACTATGCACAATAGGCACCTCTGCCAGGCTTATCTTTCATAACTGCAGCTCCTCAACCAAGTCACCTCTTGGTCAACTCTTTTTGTATCCTTTTTAAAAATCTCTACTTTTAGCTACAATGCTCTCACCAACTGTACCCTAAATATATATAGGAAGGTCATTCAAAAGGAAGATAATTCAACAGGGGGATATGTATCTTCTAGTTATCAAGTACACCATTTCTTGGACACTCCCCTCCACCACTAATTCGCTTGTTGCCTGGTCACACATGGACCTCCAACTCTTGCTAGACATTATTTTGTGGAATTCTCTTCCTTTCCTTTTGAAGGACCTTCATCTGTTCTCCAGAATTCGTTTGAGTAACCATATTAACTAATCTCTCTTCTAACAGCTGTCTATACCATCACAACTCACATTTCCATAGTTTATTTAACTGTAATAATCTTATTCATTGTTTAGACTTTTGTTTAGCCATATACAGACTGCATAACTGGCAAACTCTTTTTTCCCTTCTGCTTTATTGTTTGCGTGTAACAAACGTTGGTTCCTCTATTTTTTTTAAGCTGATACCAACAAATCTTTTGTTACAAACTTATGGTGATAATTGTTTATATCTTCACATTTTTCTCAGTGGACATAGATACCAATAACCTTTTTTTTTTTTTTAAAGATTTCAGAAAGGGTCCCCTTCGGCTGCCTCCCCTGTGTATATTTCACTTCCCAATAAGATGCAGTCAAACAGCCCCCCTCCCCAAATTCTAAATAAGGTTGATTTTCAAAAATGCTGCAATTACTCCCTTGCGCATTGTGCGGTCTGTGACTTAATACTGTCACTACGAGTATAATGGAATCTTTTAATCGTCTCAGCATATGTTGCTTTTATATTAGGTGCCAATAATTACATTCAGGGGATCGCATGCACAGTCTTTCAGGAGATAAAATTGAAATGGTTTCACACTGCGTGCTCAAGTCCTTGGGATCGCTACAGATTTCTCCTTCACTGCTTCCCTGTCCCCCTCTCCCTGCGAGGTTCACATTGAAGTGTGACAAGAGACGGCTGACAAGTGACACATGCTGGATATTATCAGCAGTAAGAGTAGACATGGGATCTGAGTGAAGAACGTCTGTCATTTATACACCATTTATTCTTCTCACTGCTTGCCTCCTTTCTCTGTAAACTCTTCCCGAGAACGCACTGCGCTCGTCGGGATTCTTCTCTTGTTTTGCACATAAGATTTGTGATCGACATTTATCTACAGACAGGCTCATAACATGCCAACCACCGCCTGCTGGTGAATGAATTGTCATGTCATGGCTGAGAGAAGACACTTTAAGAGAGCAGCTTTGTGTGGGCATCAAATAGTTATCTCATAAACCTTCACTTCTGTATTATCCTTTGCAAAGGTAAAATAAAACGATATTCAGCGATGAGTTATTTGTGCCACAGATATCTAAAAAAAAAAAAAGTGAGAACGCTCAATGTAAATCCCCATAGAGAAATATTTAAATAACAAGTTCAGCTTCAGACAGGTGCACATTTAATCTGCATATTGCGTTGCTGAACTTTCTAACAAATGTCTAGAAAACAAGATCTAGATCAGAATCTGTAGTTTGACAAGTATCTACATTTTGACGGCATTAAAATTGACACAATCCTACCTGTATACATTTTTTTCCCACAATAATTTTACCATTTCTAGTTTGAAAAAATAGAAAGTGTTCCTTACACGTTATTTCAAATAGTCAAACGTAAGCAATCACTTGGAGAAGATTTATCGACACATTAAGGGAAACATTTTTCAATTTTTACCTTCTTGATTTCAACACCTTAGAGGGCTTGATAGGCAGCTAGTGATACTTTTCAAGAGATGTACATATACCTCACAGTTATAAAACGTAAGTGTTTTGCACGTTAGAAAACCATACTTCTGTCATGATTTTGTCTAGTTGGAGGAGCGGGGTTTGTAGTGCCATCCACTGCTCTGAAGATTCCCATGATGTCATGCATGGCTGTTGGTAATTGCTAGGCCCGCAAAACCGCAATTTTTGTTGTTGTTATCATTGCAATCTCAGCATATTGACCTGGAGATTGGGTGATTAAGAACAATTGATCATGAACTAAACCAATGTTAGCGTCTGAGCGTAAGGTAGCACTCCAAGCATTATTATCACTACAGCCCACTACAGTGGTTATGGTGCCACGTTGCCCTAGCGCACTCCTAGAGTAAGTAGCTTGCAAATTGTTTCACAAATTACCTGGGGTCTGGCAGTGCACTGGTCACAGCCTTCCATGAATCTGGGAGCTTCTGCAAGTAGCTTCCATTAGCTCCACTGACCTGAGCTTGGCTTTACAAGGCCTGCTCATTGGCTGACAAAGTAAGCTGAGCACTTTCAGCCATCAGGGCTGCAAAAGAGGAGGCAGCCAGCACCCAGGGGACCCCAGATATGTTGTCAAACTGTTCTTCAAAGATATGACTACTTCTCCAGGGCACTCATATCACCATAACCATTACAGTGGAATGTAGTACTGGTTATAGTGGTTGGAGTGTCCTTTTAAGACATTTTTGGCTTGTGTACACAATATCACCTGAAGCTCAGAAACCATTGTCAAAGGAAGACAAGTGCAGGACTGTGATCACAGTTCACACTCACCTTGAGGCCGATTCATCGATTCCTTCCCCTCCAGAATGGTGTCCATTTGTCTGATATATAGATTGATTACATTTTATGGTACCATCTTTATGCTCATCCTTTTTTCAATTACTTACCACTAAGAGTATCATGAAGAGGTGGACAGATATTGTTTTTTTACCTATCCTAGGCCAGCAGACACGGAGTATGAACTTCTCTCTCTCGTAGCAAAACGTATATATAAACATATGCTGGGGAGGTGACCAAGGATCTGTGGAAGGAGGTGCTCAAAATAATTTAGCACAGGAGGACTAGTAATGTTACAGAATGATTTGCCACATGATCTCTCTCTTTGTTATTTCTGGACACTCTGTAACAGAGACAGGAAAACAAATAGATCAATATGATGATGATGCTCTCAGAGGTGGAGGGTCAGAAAAAAATGTGTTAAATTGCCATTGCCAAAGTAGAGCACAGTTCTTCTGTCATTCCTCTTCTTTTTGGAAGGACAAAGGTAACATGGGCTATTGTAGCGTTGTTAAATTGGATCATCCCGAGAAGCCATAGATCTCAGTGACAGCCCGATGCAGAGGGAAAGTTCGTGACAGTTCTTCAAACATATTGTCACCAACAGATGTTGTTTTTCTCCGATGGTGAGTGATAGATTGTAAGCATGAAACATAAGATGAATTACTTCAAAATAATGTAAAATTATAGCGACAATGTTTTTTCGCACTTAGAGTTACATTCACCTGCATTGTTTTCTCTGTCGCTCTGTTTGGTGGTCTAAAAAGAAAGTCAGTGCAATCATGCATTTTGTGCTATTTTAGGCAAATTCACAAAGTGGTTAATTGGGATATGGCATCCGGATGAATGCAAGAGGCTAGCATAGCTCCCAAATTTGCCCCAGTTTGAACCGAGATGGGGAAGGCCTTCCAGTTGACACACACATTGTCACTGATGATGTACCTAAATGGGTGGGATCATCCAGAAAGCATGCAGGTCCACTTAAGGGGCATGTGAGGCTGGTGTCAAACACGCCAGGCTCACAGATATCCTCTTGGCCAGCCCCCTCCATAGCAAACCAGTGCTCTCTGCTTGATTGTAGTGCCCGCTGCACAGTTTGAGCGCTTCCAATGATGAACTCACACTGTGCTGTCCAGGGACATATCTGTGGGTCACCAGGTAACTAAAGCAGGATGGTGGGACTGGACCCTCAAAGGCGGGTCAGTTGGGATGCGTGGACTGGGCAGGTGTGTAAGAGTATTTGGTAAAAGAAAAATTAGAGAGTACATAAAAGTTGGCAGAACAATTTTTTATTTTTTATTAGTGCTTTGTAGTGTGGACCTCATGTAGCTTAAATCGATTGATAATGTCTGTGATTTACAAATGATATATCATGTTTCATTTCTGAGCTCACAGGAATTTATTTATAGATAACACATGGATGTTACTGGCCTAAGTAAACGTACTTCCCAATCTTTCTGCCAATACGACAGGAAGGCTATGCTATTTTCAACAGTCTATATGTAATCAGATGTACAATTGTTCTGCACGTTAATTTTATACCCAAGGTAAACTTCCCATAAAAAAAAAAAGTTGCCCAGATAGACAATTAATATTGATCAAATCAACTCGCCTCTAGTAAAACCTGTCTATGTAGCTTTCCATCTATTCAAACTCAAGGATACACAGCCAGAAATATGTACAAGTGCATTATTAATGAAATTCATCTGCACAATAATCCTTAAGGGCTAGGATGAGATCCCCAAGGGTATATGTATGCAAATCCCCATTATGAGACTGTAACAAATAATCTCCGGTACATGCAAGGTGTTTTTTTTTTTGTTTTTTTTTAAATGCTTTGGCTATTTCCTTCTTTTATTGCCAAGAATATCCCAATCTTCCCAGAGGGAAGCCCGAGACAGCTGACATTTATTACACGACACCCATTAGGAGCACATTCTCGAAGTTATTCTTTATGTCGCTACCTTTACTAGGTAGTTATGCCTTTAGACACAAATAATCTATATATGACAAAATAAACTATACCTTTTGTAAGTAATAGGTGTTCGATTGTTGCATCCTTCTTTGCAAACAAATGCCATATATATAATATATATGTATATTTTTTTAATCATATATATATATACAGAAAAAAACTGTCTTGCAATCCAACTTACTGATGTCTTTGCCCGGTGCTTGTCAGCATACTAGAACCATGTAGCATAGAGCTAGCACTCCCAGGACTCCAAATGTATTTAAAAATAAAATGCAACTTTTATTTTCTTTAATTAAAAGATCAACGTTTCAGGATGAAAGTTTGGGTGACAAACTGAATCGTGGATATTTTAATTGAAGAAAATAAAAGTTAAATTTTTATTTTTATTTTATATGATATAAAATACAATAATAATCAGGGCTATGCCAGTTAGAAGGTAGATATAGAGCAAAACTGATATTTTAGTATCTCGTCACTGGTTTGCCTCTCCCCGCACCATGCGTTTCAACTAAACAGTCTTCCTCGGGCACCTCACTGAGAAGCCTCTGCATCTATCCCTGCGTGTGTGCGTGCACTTCACAGCGTTAAGAAAAAAAGCAGATCTGATCTGCTGTCTGTGAGTAGCAACGCGCGGGGAGACGGGCGCGCTCAAGTTGAGTACGACTGCCTCTTCTGCAAGCTCAGGGGTAACGGTAACAGAACACAAACCTCCTGGCTGATTGAGTAACAGGCAGGATGGGGTGCTTATTTAATTATATAAGTGCTGATTTCTATGAGAAATCATCACTTTTCTAAAAGGGGATATTCCTCACCCATAAAGCATTTCAGTAAGTTCAAGTGCTTTATGGGTGTTTAGTGGTCCTGACGTGGATATCCCAGGTAACCATGGCCATTTATTTCTGGTGTGCCTGATGTGTAGATTATAAATATCCAGATTGGCCAGGCACTATATGTACTGTGTCCAGTGGGAAGAAGGACAATTGCTCTTAGGAATGTTGCTTCAATAAAATGAAGTGACACCCATGGACATCCGTAGGACTCATGTAATATCGCGCAATATACTCTTTGTGTGGGAAATCCAAAATACTCACTTTCAGTCCACCCCTGGTGATGACAAATCAATCACTCTATCAAGCTGCATATTTCCCTTAGACCAGGGCCAAGCAACTGTCGACACTCCAGATGCTGTGGACTACATGTCCCATAATGCTTTGCTAGCATTACGGCTGTAAGAGCAAAATGGGCGACGTAATCCGCAGCATTTAGAGTGCTGAAGGTTGCCTACCCCTGCCTTAGACCCAAGTATATTTCTAAGGAACTCCTAAGCTGCTCACTTCAACATAGCATTACCTCACACCTTTAACATAGTAGCTAAGAAATTAGGATAGGATGGTACGTGTTTGGAGTAGCATTATGTCAGTACTGCAATTGCTTTTAATTATGTGTTCATCCTGCATCTTTAGGTACTTTCTTTGGTGTTTTAAGAACACAGGAACAAAACCTCAAGAAAATATATAAACCCGTATCGCACTTGTCTCAGTAAAAACATTACTTTTTATCGATACAGGGATTAAAAAACAAACAAAAAACCATATAACTATGCAGCAGAACACCTGAGAGAGACTGCAATGATTAGATCAATGCTCTAAAACAGGACTGTCTGTCTGGATCCAGGACTATTGGGAAGAATATGTTTACAGTTATGATAAATGTTTCTGTTTTTTCTGTTTTTTTTGTGTTCTTTTTTAGCTGTAACACCAAATCTTTCAGTGAGTGATGAAAGATGGGAAAAAAGTTTTCTAAACGAGTAAATGTTTTGTTAAAGTCCGCAGATTAAGATAACTGTGCTGAAAGGGTTTCATCACATCCCAGGGCCGGCGAGGCTCTATGAAGTCATTATCAGTGGTCTATCGTATTTTATGCTTCACATTGTAAGGAAAACATTAATGGAAAGAGCCTGGCAACCTCTGATTTCAATTAGACTAACAGGGTAGAAAGAGCCCAGTAATCTTCAGTTTAATGATGCTGAAGGTGATGATAATCTATTTAATGCAATTCCTTTCAACAAGGAAGGGAAGAAAAATAATAAAAATCTGCATGGCCGAGACATATGGAGGTGTTGTAGGAAACACAGTGGCGAGATTGAGTGCTTGCTCGTGTGTGTTCCTAAGCCTATAAAAATTCAATTTTTGAAAACAAGAACAAGTCATTTGACTAGGTCTACAAGTCCATGCGCTTGTCTCAGGCAATAAATCGCCATCATTGGTAGTTAGACTAAAATAATAAAAAGCAGCAAACAGGAAGAGCAGAGTGGAATTCCTTGCTAATCTTGTACTTTGTGACTATATAACAGTGTCACTGCTCTGAGCAATCCCTGCACAAGTCTCTGGCACTGCAGCCGGCACGGACAAAGACCTCTGGCTGGTTGAGCATCGTAGTGGTAGCATTCCACAGCGTGTGCAGTATAAGAGGATACTACTATGCCTGGCAGCAAATATTTTTGTTTGTTTTTTAATCATTATTATTTTTGTTCTGTTCTTTGTGTACATTTGTCACAGAGCCCAATTCCTCACCCCTTTTCCTTTGCGCTGATTCTGGGCTATCTTTGACATCTCGATGTATGTGTCCACTATAGGTGAGTGCATGCCTCATAACTCCATCATCCATAGAATTGGGTGGGAGAAGGGTAGAAAATGTATGATTGCATCACTGGCTCCACTCCTTTACTTGCCGGACAGGTGGTGTGTATACATGCCTGCCTGTCATGTAAGGCCAGACGACTGAGGACAAAACTTGCAGGGAGCACGGTTTCAGTCCTATCTGCAGGATCTGAACATGCGAGCGTGTCAAATGATGCCCTTGCACTATGCTTTTGTGGGACAGTTTCCTAGTGTCCTCAAATCAGGACTTTCCCACCAAAATCAGGATGGTTGGGAGGCATGTGTGTGTATTGCATGCTTTGCATGCAATGTGGAGGCTGCAGGCTGTGCGTTCTGGCGTCAGATGCCAATCTTGCACAGAATTAACTTTATCCAGCCCACAATTTTGTTCTAGGCTGGCTTCTGAGGCTGCCGATGGTGGAGATACATCTCTGGCAGCTATGGGGTTAATATCTGTATGTGCAATGTTTCTAAACAAAATGTTGCACATCTAGATCCAAGCACCTTAATCACTTCAAATCACTGAAGTGGTCATGGTGCTTGCAGTAACCCTTTAAGAGTATTTGGGTAAACCCATTCAGAAATAACCCATGTATAGAACTAAAATATTTATAACTTGACCTTTCTCTAGGAAACGCCAGTGGCTTTCTTCTTTGAGCATGGCTTCTTCAAGTAGTCTACCAGTTGATGTCCTACTTCGAATTCCATTATCCTCATGTTTGACTTATATCTTATATCTAGAAGCATATCAACATTTCATTACTATTTAAATGCAAGTGTAACCTTGATCATTTTTAATATTTAAGTATTCATGTCCGTACCAAATTTGACATATACAGAGTTTCGCTGGTCATCATGATTTATTTACGACGCAGAATATTCTACAATCCATCTAATGTTGGGAAGTACTAATTACAAACGGCATCACTTTTGTTTGATATACCATCTCACACTCCCCCTGAGAGTACAGCATTCCTATCTTTACAGCATGGATGGGCCATTCGAATTTAGCCGGAATAACACGAGTATTGTATGTGTTTTCCTCTCCTTAATATAAAATATTAATGGATTTCCTTTCTAACTAGCAACGTTGCTGTAACCAGAGGAGCAATTTATTTTCCTAATAGGTGAAAACCAAAACTAATGAAACCTAAGAAGACTATTATGTCATTTATGCACAATATGATCAAGCAACCCGAAATCTATTAAAATTAATTTGAGGGAAACCCAGGATTTGTACCCCCTTCCCCTGCTTAAGCTATTTGATTGTCGGCATCGTAGTGCGATATTAATTCTCTAAAATTATATAAATGGAAAATATAAAGAGACACAGCTATAGTGATCCCTGTACTTTTTTCATACTTTAGTGATGAAAGTCAATAGCGTGTATTAACAAAGATGATCGATGATACCGAATCATGTTTTAAATTTGTGTGTTAAGATTTGCTGGTCCCCCCTCCTGCTTCCTAATTCTTTATATTTTTTTATTTGCTTGGGTATTTATTTTGTCTTCTGTTAAATGAGTGTAAAATAACAGATACAATTAGGATCTTGTAATACCTTTTTTATTGGACTAACAGAATTGTGTAATGACTAAATGAGTGGATATAGCTTGCTGCTGTGGTATCTGACTCCATGAATAAACAAACAAAAATTTAAATAAATCAGTAAATTATGGTACATTGGCCAACCAATGTAAACCATGAATACCTGTTATTATACAAAAAATGATTAAGTATTATGTTAACTTATGAAAACGTTGCTAAGCAATGTAAATGCTCACTAAGTCGTACTACCTAACATTTGGCAGTACCATGGGGTAAGTGGGGTCCTGTGGGGGCTATGCCAGTGACGGCCATAATGGGCAGGCCTGCCTGGAAAAGACTGTGTAACAGATTTCCTTGTACCCCGTCTGGGTACCTCCGCCAAGGATCGCTTCCTTGCTGGACCCGGGGACAACCTAAGCGCTTCTGCTCCAGTCGCTGTGGCTTAACTGGGGTCCTCCTGAAGCCTCTTCATCCTGGAATAGGATAGGGAACTGGCTCTTTTCCCTCCCAGGGACTGGGCGACAAACAGTCCTGGGAACTTTTATCCTTATAAGGACCTTGCCCGCCGAATCACCCACGAGCTGGAACAAGGTACACTGAGCATTGATAAGCCCTTTACTCCCCCGGAAACTAGACAACACATAGTTCCGGGAGTACAATTGATTTTAATGAGCCAACTCTGCCTTTTATGTACAGTCCCCAGCATGGGATCTCCATTGTATTAAACACAAGCCTGGGAGTTAATTGAGTTAAAGACTGGCAAGCTAATTATCTCCGAGGAACAGAGAGCCCAACTCAACATAAAAGTACCCCAAAACATTATAAAAACATATAATAACCCCACAATTAGTTCCATAGCGGTCGCAGCTGAGTACCGCTGAGGAGCATTCATGGGTTTGGTTCATTAGAACGGCCACCAGGGAGCTAGCGTTCGGTTCCATTCAAATGAAGGGAAAGTGCCGAACCAGGAAAAGCTGCCAATGGCGGCTGTCCCAACGATGTCTCAGACCTGGACCATAGTGGGTGGGAAAGAGGCCAGCTTCCACACTCCTCCAGGAGTTTGTGGCAGATGTTCGTGGGAAGGAGCGTTTATCACAGACTGTACCACTAAAAGCAAGACTGTAGTCAGGCCTGGTAAATACATTTAGAAATAAACATTACTACCCATATTTTCCGGTGTATAAGACGACTGGGCGTATAAGACGACCCCCGACTTTTCCAGTTAAAATATAGAGTTTCGGATATACTCGCCGTATAAGACTACCCCTCTTCCAATGCACACCAAATAAAAATTAGCCATGATGTACAGTGAGCAGACAGAGCTACACAGCAAGACATTAAATAATGATAATCTGAAATAGCATTTAAAGCCCAGGTATGTGCCAGGCTGTTTGGGCATATAATCCATGCCTGCTGGTCTAGCACACAGGAGGCTAATTGCTATATATTCTTTTTACTCCCCCCCCCCAATCCTCCCTACATTCTTCTCACCTCCCCTTCCCTGTGCAGAGTGGGTGGCCGAGCTCCTCTTCGTCCTGTCAGTCCGGCCACGGTACAGGATTCAGTTACCTGTTCCCGGCCGGACTGAAAGGAAGTGAGCACTCAGTGGAACGGTAACGGACTGACAGGACGAAGAGGAGCTCGGCCACCCACTCTGCACAGGGAAGGGGAGGTGAGAAGAGAGGCAGTGCGGCAGCTGTCTGAGCGCTCTCTATAGAGCGCTCAGGGGGCTGCAGCATTAGAAGGGCCGGCGATGGGGGCGCAGGGCGACCCCGGCAGCCATATAGACCCTATACCCGGCGTATAAGACGACCCCCGACTTTGGAGAAGATTTTCCAGGGTTAAAAAGTTATCTTATACGCCAGAAAATACAGTATATAAAATTGTGCCAGCCATACTACCCTACCAGATGCATGGCTTATCTTGTTATCCATGCATTTAGCAGAAGTTGTAATAAGCAAACAGGTTTCATTTAACATATATTACATTTGCAGTGTAAAACTAATTTCCTGCAGACTAATGCGTTTATATTACAGTACCAAAGGTAGGCCAAATAAAATGGATGAGGGTGCATTGTACACACACCTCTCTCTCTCCCTCTGTACTTATCACAGAACTCCAGAACAATCAAGCTCAAATTTTATAAAGCTCTACAACAATACAGTTCACAATAACGTGCAGTTTGTATTAAGTTTTTTTTTAAAGCTCTTTAAAACAAACTAATGAGGGAGACACCAGGAAACAAAAGTCCCCAACTGCTTTGGTGTCTTGCATACTTCCCCTAAAATAGCAATCAGCAACTCTTATTTCAGAATGGTACTTTTTATTTAAAAAATAGGTAATTTTGCAAATTATATCGTTTACAAACAATAGATCATTAAATAATAAATACAAGATGAACGACAAGGTAAGTTGCCGTTAGGAAGGAATCGGCATCCAATACAAAGAGGCTAGAGAGTTTAAAATGGGAATTATTCAGTAGGCATTCAAACTTTAATGTGTCAAATCATACCCTAAACAAAACCCAACAAAAATTACAATTATTGAGGGATTATCTAAAAGTAGGACACCCCCTTCCTGGTAATATAAATGTATGTACGTAGTGGGCATTGGATAGCATTCCCCTCATCCCCCCATAAAAAAACATAACTTACCCCTTCAAATAACGACAGACAACTTCTTGGGAAAACAGGCCACAGCATTTATTAACATCACCAAATACTGTATAACTCCTTAAACATATAACATAATAAATATCATAAATTAACATAAACACTTTTTATACAGTCATACAGTAATCAAGAAAACCGTCCTTGCCAATCTAACTTCCCCAAGGCCCTCACCTCCCCCCCTCGGCATAATAAAACCTCTTCCTTTTCAGGGCTCCCCACCAGCCGGTTTTCCGCTCGGTGGGGTCCAACCATAATGCTCCCCACCGGTCGACTTACAACCCAGTGGGGACACACCCAACCTGGTACCTCCTCCAGGTTCACCATAAGAGACAGGGGGAGGATGAGACCCAGCCATTATCCCCCTTTTCATCTAATCTACCATCCCTTATTTGGCAAGGACATGCCCCGCCTCGCTGTGACAACCACCTGGGCGCAAAGCAGCAAAGGGAGGGTGGGCGGGAAACTTGTTGCTGGCCCAACTCCTAAGTGGCACTGAGGTCAGTCTGCTTTGTCACCACCCGCTTCCTCACATCTCACACTCCCACACGTAGCACATAGCCAATCATGCACCATGCATCCCACACTTATACATGTAGAATATAGCCAATCATGCCTCATCCATCCCACACTCATACATGTGCCCCTGTCCGCTAAGCTGCGCACTCTCCCTGGGGCCTGATCCCTTTATATGAAGCTAAAGTGCTGTAAATTACAAAATAGCTAATCTGCCACTATCCTGCATAGACAAACACTAAGTTCCCTAAGAACATGTTATTTTGTAGCAAAATGTGGATCACTATCTGGCTTTAATAGGAAATGTAATATGAAATGAAGTGATTCCACCTGTTTCTTACAGGTAGATATATCCCATGACACTTACCTGTTTTAAGGAAGATCACATTTTCTCTACCCTTGCTGATGAAGCTCTCAATGAAAGCTTAGCTGGAAACTGACACATGCTGACAAGCCAGATATTCTTCAAAGTGATCCCACCACGCTATCCAATTGGGTGTGTAGCAAAGTTTTGCTCCCCAGAACTAAAAAAACATCCTCTTGACAGTCATTAATAGACAACTGCTTTGGGAAGCAGCTGTGCGTAATGTAAAATTAAAAATAAAAGATCGCTGATATACTTTTGCCCCCTCCCCACCCCAGCAATGCCTATGATTACAGAGGTGCTTAAATAGACTGGGTGCTCTGTATGCGATGAGGACATAAATGATTTGATATAATGTCATACTTGATAGCAGCAATCAAGCATTTTAGACGTGGAAGAATGAGCCTTTAATATATGGAAAGGAATGCCTGCAAATGCACAGGCCACCATTGAGTTTGGGAAGGGTAATTAAAGGGTCAGTAAGAATCTTTGACGTAATACATATAGGAGATGTGCTAGAGTGTTAGGGTGATCGTCACATTCTATTTTAAATGGAATGTCGCAGTCGTTAAATGGTATCAGGTCTGTATAGAGTTATGCAAGCAGAACATTCTATATTGGCATATGGTCTTTAGGGACCAGGCAGTGATGACACATTTAAACATAATTTCTCCTTAAAGAGTTTACTATCTTTCCTGAAGCAGTGTGCTTTTGGAAAGGGCCCCATAAATGCTCTAACATAGAAGTATTTCTTTAATTAGTCAGTTATGCAAATATAAATGTATTATATAAATAGGTAAAGCATGTAGAAGGTCTACAGATATAGTGTTACATAAATATTGTTAATAAATGCTATTCTCCATTTAAACACCATCCATCACAACCACAAATGTGTTTGGTTTATCGGAAAGACATGTTTATTTGCATATAGGCCTTGACTTTGAGAAACTGAAATTAAACGCTAGTAAAATAATCGGTGATTGTTTTAGGAAAGTGTTGATTATACGTTGGAATATTTTGGTCCTAACGCAGCCTCACAAGTTATAAAATGTGCAGGATGGACAAAAACATCGGTTTCATCCGAGATATTTAATAGATTTTCACATGCAGTGTGTTACCGGTAAATTCACGTTTTCATTCTTTGGAGTGGTATTATTCTTAGTGCATTAGGTGAAACTTTGTTTAACCTGTTAAAAGCCAGTGTCATAACCCTCCTTCTAGCTCTAAATGCCCTGTTGACTTAGTTCTGAAACTCTAGATTTTGGGAGGCATGCAATCAGGGAGGGAGATTTACCAGCCCGTAATACGCATCACTAACAGGCAGTTGTATTCATTGTAACTTAAGGAGATATTACTGTTAGTTTATTGTTGTGAATACTGTTTATGCTCCCGCAAAGAGAGGGTATTTGTAATAATGAGGGACAGACTGATTTAGACCCAAAATAAGGAATATCATTCTTAAAAAGGGACAATTGGCTGATATGTTTTGGGGACTTCATCCTGTCCCCATAAAAGCAATTCTGTATTGCAGTACAGGTATCCGGAATCGGGACCACCCTTCCTGATCTAGGACGTCTAAAATCTGCAGGTTTAGTGACATGCATACCTCCCAAACACTTTCAGGGTTATTATTATTATTATGACGATATTTATAGATCGCCGTCAAATTCCGCAGCGCTTTACAATGGGTGGACGAACAGACATGTAGTTGTAACCAGACAAGTTGGACACACAGGAACAGAGGGGTTGGGTTACTCACTAAACTTATAAATGTTTTGCAAATTAAATCTGAAGGGCAAAACTGAGGCAAAAAATGCCATGTTATCACAATTGCTGAGTTTTTGTGAGTTTTATGGCAGTATAGTGTCTTCAATGTCACTCAAAGTATGTCAGTGACTCCTCTTTCCTTATGATGAGCTTCTCTGCCCGAGCATTTGTCGTCTTGGGCAGCATTTCACTGACAAATCTGCCTCCCAACGTCACTGTTGACTATGAGTACATACACACACGTACAGCTATAGAAACATGCAGTACTGATTACAGAAACACTGCATTTCAAACGGAAAGGATACTTGCAGGTTGCAAACATATTACTTTAAATTAAGCATGTCAAACTCAAAGTCTAGCACAGGCCAAATAAACAAGGTTTACGTTTATGTGGGCCGCAAAAACACCAACAAATTTTCATAGAAACATTTTTTTTAAAAAGCACAGTATAAAAAAAAAAAAAAAAAACAAGCATCCCCCTCTTCTAAATCCCAGCCCCCCCATATACTAAATCCCAGTTCCCCCCTCTAGCCAACAAGCAGACTCCACTCACATTGCCGCTGCCAGTAGGTGACCTTGGAGTCCAGCCTCTGGTATACCCCAAATGGCGCCGTCCGCACCCTGTGCCAAAGCGGATCCTCCTGCTAGTTCGTGAAACTCTGTAAAGGTGGAGCATGTCGACATCACGTCAGAATGTGGCCTTCATGCACCTCCAGGTACTCTACTGTCCAGCCACGGCCATCACAACACTGACACACACACACACAAACACTGACAGACACAGACAGACAGAAACACACAGACAGACACACTGACATACACTCTCAGTCACACACATTTACACATTCTTGCACACACTCACAACATTCTCTGGGGTCCAGTGGGGATCTTCTGTCTAGAGATCTCCTTCTTGCTCCTTATTGCTCCCTCGTGTGCAGTTTAGTGAAGCCGGGTGCCGGAATATGATCTCATATTCCGGCACCCGGCATCACTACAGAAGGCGTGTGCAAGGGAGCAGTGAGGAGGAGGAAGACTGAGCTCCTCCAGCGACCACTCCGAGTCCCAGCCGGGTAAATTTTAGTAGAGTATGCCCCTGCAATGTGGAGAAAACAGGTGCCTACTCTGCTTTATCACCAAGCATGTACTTGCGGCTTGCCGGGCCACAAAGATGCTCATTGTGGGCCGCGGGTTAAATATGCTTGCTTTAAATGCTTGAAAGGATGACATCAATCGAACTGCCTTAGGACTGAGTAACTCATTAGAATCCTGGTCAGACCTCATCACTAGTAATTGTTCCTGGGCTAGACATCTAACCATATATTCTTGCCTACCTCAAATCCACATTGATTGTAAGCTTTTTTTGAGTATGGCCATGTTCACAAAAATATCCCTTTTCTTTCATTGTAAAGCGTGGCGGGATATGTTGGCGCTATAAAAATGCTAATAACATTTTTATACTTTAAGAACATACATGTTTAGATATTTAAGAAAGCAGTTGTGGTCAAAGACCACCCAATGTTGACTGACTCCTATAAACCTAAGAAAAAAGAAAAGAAAATGTAACTTAACTTTGTAAACCAACAGCTTCCCAAGGTAACCCTTCCAGATGGACAACTGACAAATAGATATATAAAGTATAGCAAAATGCGATACAGCTGTTAACCTAAAATGATAATAGAAAACAAAATAACATAATGTAGTATTTCTTTATAAAATGTGTATGACGCGGAGATAATGCACTCACAGAATGAAGAGATAATAATCGCCTGTAGGGTGCCTCCCCCTGGTATCGTTGAGGGTCTATATGGGATCCTCCTCTCCTTCCCCTTGCGGGTATCCCGGAGTCTGACGAAGCAGGTGAATATAAAAACGTAATTTGTTGCCAAACAAATAAAAGGTTTAAAACATAAACTCAGTCCTACAATTAGAACTTCCTCAGGGACTTAGTAAAGATAAAATTACAAAATGCAGTATAACAAATGATAACCGCCGATAACAAGTTCTAATTGTAGAACGGAATGCGTAGGACTGAGTTTATGTTTTAAACCTTTTATTTGTTTGGCAATAAATTATGTTTTTATACTCACCTGTTTTGTCTGACTCCAGGATATCCACAAGGGGAAGGAGAGGATGATCCTATATAGCCCCCCAACGATAACGGGGGAGGCAACCTATAGGCGATTATCTCTACATTCAGTGAGTGCATTATCTCAACGTGTCATAGACATTTTATAAAAAATACTATACTATGTTATCCTATAAACCTAAGCCAGATAAAAGGCATAACAAGTTGCTGGCAAAGGTTTGTGGGAGTTGAAGTTTGCCAACAGCTTGAGGTCTGGTATCTCTGTATCTACCTGCACTAGATCATAAAAAATACCTACTGTATATATTATTGTTGGAAAGTATAGGCCATTCTTAATATAGTTTTGGAATCCTATTTACACCTCAGGTACATAACGAAAATGGCTGCCTCATCTATTCCCACCTTAGTAGTATGTTACAACATTGCAAACAAGCGACTATATATATTAAATCCCTTCTGAAAAAATCATTTGCCTTTTAATATCAATAATGATATCTCTGTGAATAAAAATGTAATTTGTCATGAACTATTGTATATTTACCACATGAACGCCAACAAAAATTGTCTCAGTGCGAATTGTTGCCATACACACTTGCTGGGTTTTTATTGTGCTTTCAATTTCAGAAGAAGTGGCTTTGGGACATGAGAAAACCCTATTTGATAGAATGAAGTCTGTGTTACTGTAATAAATTCAGTGATTTCTTGTAAATGCAGTTAGTCACCAACCATATAAGCTCTGTCACCACCTCTGGGATGTGTCAGTGTGTAGGCTGGTTAGCGATGGTTGCAGGTGGCGGTGGTGGTGGGGGGTTACCTTCTTTGACATACAAAGCATGGGTTGTAATTTTAGCTAACAATTTACTTTTATTTTTAGACCAAACACCTAATAATTGTTTTGTTTTTGGTCAGGTGTTACCATTTTTTTTTTTTATTATTATAGTTGAGGCCCATAGGTAAGCTATACGTGCTTTCAAATAACATAATTCTTAGTACGTTACAATATGACAGCAACTCTCTTCAGCTAAATATAATGTTCATGCTCCTTAGAAATGTATTCCCTGCTGGCTGAGGATCTTGGGAGCTGTAGTTCACTAGAAAAAAAATGTAGTGACTAAATAGAGGTTTTGTGTTTGTAAATATATATACGGTATATATTTTTTTAAATAATTAACTAAAAGTATACATGAAATTTGTGTGAATTGAAAGCTCAATTTCAATAAACAAATGTATCATATAGACTTCTCATCATTAGACGGAATTAGCATTACAGAGCAGCAAATTCGGTGAAAGCCTTTCAGGGCCATATAAGGCAGTTAGGATGTAATAGGCTGTATTTAACCTGCAAAGTGATCAAAACTATCTACAACTCGCCTGTAACTGTCTCTGAATAACCCTGGTATTAAATCGGAAATGGATTCCTGACCAATTTCCTGATAAATACATGTGTCCTATTCCATGGCTGGTGTATGGAAGCAAAATGTCTCTTCATTAGCACATTATTGGGCACATGTGGTTGTAAAAATGTTGTTTATTTCTAAATAGAAGTTCTATTTCTGTACTAAACAATTACGGGGTGTAATTAAACACTGCTCCCAGTATGGCTCCAATACAATGAGTGTAATTCTGAAATTCCTGCCAATTGCTGAGTGTATGCACATGCTACAGAGGTACATTAATGCAATATCAACATGCCATTTCAATGCCCAGGTGTACATGAATGTGTGATTCAGAATGATAATAGAGATTCTGGGTTCTTAGAGGGATTATAAATGTTTTACATTTTAGGGTCAGAGAAATCCACAGATATTGCAGTTGTTATAAGTGTAAACAATATTGATTAATTAAAGAAATTGAGTTGTTACAGTACTTCATTGTCGGCTAAAACCGGATAGAAGCCACGTAATTTAAAGGAAAATGTCTGCACACAGCTGTTTGTAGCTGCAGTTATTTGCAAAAATGACTGCCACTATAAGACCTCCCCTTAGCACAGAGGCTGCACAGGAGGAAGTGTTTGCTTCCGTCTGCCATTCCAAAGAATTGTACGCCATGTTCCTTCCCAGTGGTTGCCCGCTATACAAAAGCTCATGTCAGACTGTGAAAGTAGAACCAGTACTATTGTGAACATCTGTAGGACTAAATAAAAAAATCAAAGACTTACACTGAGGGAAAAAAGTATTTGATCCCCTGCTGTATTTGACCGTTTGCAAATCCAGAAAAACGCATGTCAAAAAAGTTATAAATTGATTTGCATGTCAATGAGTGAAATAAGTATTTGACCCCTTTGATTTAGTACTTGGTGGCAAAACCCTTGTTGGCAGTCACAGAGGTCAGACGTTTCTTGCAGGTGGCCACCAGGTTTGTACACATCTCAGGAGGGATTTTGTCCCACTCCTCTTTGCAGATCATCTCCAAGTCATTAAGGTTTCGAAGCTGACGTTTGGCAAATCGAAACTTCAGCTCCCTCCACAGATTTTCTATGGGATTAAGGTCTAGAGATTGGCTAGGCCACTCAAGGACCTTAATGTGCTTCTTCTTGAGCCATTCCTTTGTTTCCTTGGCTCACTGACACGTGGGCAGGTCAATGGAAATTATCTTACGCAGTGGCAAGCACATCCACTTATGTGCCCATGCATGTTCTAATTTAGAATGATTAACCCCTGGTGGAGTGACACAAATCTGAAATAGGGACTCTCCTGGAAAATCAGAGACACTTGGCGGGCTATGGTGTTGCAGTGTGCTGGTTAAACAGCGAATTAAGACACTGTAGTCTCTGGGCACCATGCACACAAGTTGATAATGTATTTGTAACCGCGCTGCTGACTATGTTTGTGCTATATAAAGATAATAAGTACATTGCAAAAATCTAATTTAACCTTCTTAATGATGTAATATGCTGAACTAGGATAGACTATTGTTGGTACGTCTGCAGATTTTAACTTCCATAATTTTAAGCCAGCCATTAGACAGCTGGAGAGCTATGTGTTTCTTATCTTTTACATGACTTATCCTGTGCCGTTAGTCATATGTTCTGTAGCTGCTCTTTGGCAGTGCTTTTGGTTGAACAAATTAGCCTGAAGTGTTGTGCCCTTGACTGGTAAATCCTTTTAACCCGGTCGAGTGGAGCGCATGAATACCTAGATTGTTCCTCTGTCTGTTATTCTCTTGTGTTTATCTGACGGAGCTGTCAGTCAGACCATTATAGCTGCAGTGCAAACTGAACTCACTTGTCCACTCACAAAAGCAGAGTCTGTCGATGATAAGCTAAACAAAATCACTGAGATGTCACTGCCAGGGAACTGAGCAATGAACCTTAGTATGTTGGGTGTGAACTCTGTGCGCTGCCCTTACAAGGGCTGGCTGCGGGCTAATTTAATGTTACAGGCCTCGGGCGGGGAATTTTTATATATTTCTGCTTTTATTACATCTACTACCTCTTCATCTGAAATAATCTAGCTTGCACAAGAAATTTGCAAACGAAAAATAAAAAATAGTTAGTTTTATGCTGGTTATGATAAACCGCCAACCATGCAGCGTTAATAAGCAAATTACTCAATTTAAGCCCCCCCCAAAAAAAAGATTTGTGAAAGGTTCTTCCCACTTACTTTTGATATAAAGTTCACAAATTGATTGTCAACCCCCATAAATAATTGCTTGTGCTCGCGATTCTACTGTTTTAATGTGAAAAACATCAGTGTAATAATGGTAGATATTGTTACAAATTAATAGAGAACACTAGAGTTGCTGTGGATTGTAGTTCTCATCATTCCCAGCCAGGAAATCCGAGTTGCTACAGCCTAAGGGTACGTGAGTAAAGGTGTATGTCTTGAAGGAAAACAGACAATTTTTTTTATTTTTATTTTTTAAAGAAGAGATTACATATATCTTCTGTGTGTATTATTATAATGCAGACATATACATTGATACGTCTTTTCATTGCATTTCCTGGAATATTCTTGCTCTTAAAGCTTCAACCATCTTTAAGTTTCGGAATTGGAGAAAAACTAAGGTGTCCAATTGTGCAGCGCTACGGAATTTGCTGGCGCTATATAGATAATAATAATAATAATAGTGTCAGGAATACAAGCATGTATTCCTAACTCTATAGTGTTTAACTATTTAGGTCCTCGGGCCCCACTCATATTGCAGTAAAAAGAGCATCTGGCCCTGCCTCCATGGCCAAGATCATCAATCTCATAGAGATGCATTGAATCAATACAGGGAACATTCAGCCTCCATGCAGAGCGTGCAACACTGACCCAGGAAGCACCTCTAGTGGCCATCTCTGTAATTGCCACTAGAAGTGTTACTAGGCAGCAATGTAATTCTCTGAAAAGGTTATAGACACCAGAACCACTACATTAAGCTGTAGTGGTACTGGTGACTAGTGTCCCTTTAAGAGCTAGTGTGCCTTCATGAATACTGACCTCATGAGCAAGCTTAGAGCGTAACAAAAATGCACAAATTGTGCATGATTATTATTTCAAAATAACTGGAGCTTCAGACCAATAAAGACTAAAGATAGCTGGTCCGGTGAGCAAGGTAGACCAAGAGATGCACTAAAAAGATTTATCCCCTCACATATATTTATTTAAAAATATAGCTTCAGTTGGTATTATGACATGCAATCTTTCATTATTTTGTAATTACTGAAATTAACAGTTTGACTTTTATCTGTGCCATTGGATACAGCACTGTAAGTTACAGTGTAAAAAGTTTCCCTTAGCAATGCAGTAAGATTAGAACTGCCCCAGTCCGATATTTGACATTTTAAAAGCTTTCAAAGTCTGTTCTAGGTTATAATCAGGTTATTAGCAATGAGCAATTCTAAAGCAGCACCATTTCATCTAATTCTCGTTATAACAGGTCTGTGGATTTAATGCATTTGGGATGACATTAAAAAAACTAACAGTGATAGGAGTTGTACTCCAGTCGCATCTAGAAGACCTCAACGGCCCGCCCCAGTTTAGAGGAATACAATTTCTTTCTTTTTTTTGTTGACATATAAACAGTTAATCCCTTTGCTACCAGAGATTGTGACAAAGGATTAGGAGCCACCAATTTGAAACCGATAGCCGGGAGCATACCGTGATAGCGAGCAGCATTTTATCAAACGCTTGTTAGCTGTTATATTAAAGCCCCTAATATACTAATGCACTCATCTGGCAGATAGCGTGTAAAAAGTCCAGCCTCGTCGAGCCCTGCATTTACTCAAAGTCAGTATGAGATGCAGGTTGTAACTTTTTCTGTGATATAATTTGCAAATGGCCCATTTATCATTATGAACATTGAGGAAACAGGGAGAAGGATTAGTGTCTAATTATTATTATTTTTTTTCGTCTTAGTCTTTTTTCCTAAATTTGTGATTAAGAAGTGTACTTGCTCTTGCTGGTATAGTAATAATTTTTTAATTACTACTAAATCACTACCAAGAGAAGATTTTATTGGGTGGGGAGAGATTAAGGTTAATTATAATTATAGGGTTCAAGGAACACTCCAAGTACCATAACCACTACACCTCCACCCCCTTATGAGTGGCGGAAGTTCCTGCTTTAGAAATTCTGTTAGATAATGAGCTGACCCCTCAGGAGAGCAGAAAGCATCAGCCGGTTGCTCTCAGCCAATGAGAGCAGTCCAAATGACCTGAGTGAAGAGAGATTCCGTCCCTCACTGAGCAGAGCAGAGATCGATCGCTTCCAGCGGAACCCAGGTAAGAAGTCAAAATGATTAGACTAACAACGAGGGGTGCAAACACACTCCTGATACCATAACCACTACAACATGCTATAGTGATTATGGTACTTAAAGTGTTCCTTTAGACACTGAAAAAAGGTAAGAGTAGAACCTTTATTTAATATTTTTATGACAATGGTATTCATGTGCCTCCCCTCCTGTTTAAGGACAGGGGCACTAAAGCAGTAGAAATACAGGTTTATAATTCCTAATGCTATAGTGTTCCTTTAATATACATTCTGAAGTCATTTAACTTAGGCCCAGGAAAACGTTCAATCTAGCTTCTTTCTGGGGTCAGGTCAGGGCCATCAGAAAATGACAAGTTTAAAAGTGGAAATCTCTCTCAAGAGGCAGCAATTGCCCAGTGCACCTGCCTTGCAAAGACTTAGAAACATAGAATGTGACGGCAGATAAGAACCATTCAGCCCATCTAGTCTGCCCAATTTTCTAAATACTTTCATTAGTCCCTAGTCTTATCTTATAGTTAGGATAGCCTTATGCCTATCCCACGCATGCTTAAACTCCTTTACTGTGTTAACCTCTACCACTTCAGCTGTAAGGCTATTCCATGCATCCACTACCCTCTCAGTAAAGTAATAGCTATACATGTTAAGATCCTTTAACCTTTCCTGGTAAGTTTTATCCCGCAATCCATGAACCAGTTTAGTAGCCCTTCTCTGTACTCTCTCTACAGTATCAATATCCTTCTGGAGATACGGTCTGCGTACAATACTCCAAGTGAGGTCTCACCAGTGTTCTGTACAGTGGCATGAGCACTTCCCTCTTTCTACTGCTAATACCTCTCTCTATACAACCAAGTATTCCGCTAGCATTTCCTGCTGCTCTATTACATTGTCTGCCTACCTTTAAGTCATCTGAAATAGTTACCCCTAAATTCCTTTCCTCAGATGTTGAGGTTAGGACTCTATCAAATATTCTGTACTCTGCCCTTGGGTTTTTTACATCCAAGATGCATTATCTTGCACTTATCCACATTAAATGTCAGTTGCCACAACTCTGACCAATTTTCTAGTTTACCTAAATCCTTTGCCTCCTGGAACATCAACCCTGTTACATATCTTAGTATCATCAGCAAAAAGACATACCTTACCATCAAGACCTTCTGCATTATCACTAATAAAAATATTAAAGAAAATGGGTCCAAGTACAGATCCCTAAAGTACCCCACTAGTTGCAAGCCCATGCTCTGAATATACTCCATTGACTGCAACCCTCTGTTGCCTGTCACTTAGCCACTGCCTAACCCATTCAACAATTTTGGAATCCAAACTTAAAGGATCACTATAGTGTCGGGAAAACAAAGCGGTTTTCATGACACTATAGTGCCCTGAGGGTGCCCCGACCCTCAGGGTCCCCCTCCCGTGGTGCTGAAGGGGTTTAAACCCCTTCAGTTACTTACTTTAATCCAGCGCCAGGCTCCCTCAGCACTGGTGACCTCTCCTCCCCCGCCGACGCCAGTGGAGCCGAATGCGCATGCGCAGCAAGTGCCGCGTGTGCATTTAAAGTGTCCATAGGAAAGCATTTCTCAATGCTTTCCTATGGCCGCTCTGCGCGATGGATGCGAAATTCGCATCCAGCGTCGCAGATGCGCCTCTAGTGGCTGTCCGGAAGACGGTCACTAGAGGCTGGATTAACCCCAAATGTAAACATATGCATGCATCTGAAGGGTTAAAACCTGAGGGACCTGGCACCCAGACCACTTCATTGAGCTGAAGTGGTCTGGGTGACTATAGCGTCCCTTTAAAGATTGTTTATTGATAAGCCTTCTATGTGCAACAGTGTCAAAAGCCTTACTGAAATCTAGGTAAGCAATTCTTATGCAGCTGCCTTGGGAAGTCTGTGATTGGACAGCCACAGAAAGTCTGGGTGGGGTTAGAAGGGGAGGGCTTGCAAGGGCTGTAGACAATAGATATGCAGTATTTGTAAGTTGTTTTTAGATATACCCCCAATGAAAAATGTATATGTTAAATTATTATTATTGCCATTTATATAGCGCCAAAAGATTCCGTAGCACTTTACAATATTAAATGCACGCATGTTTTTGTTGGGAATGTTTCTACTAAACAGTGATGTTTATTTTGTTTGTGTTTGGGTAGAAGAGTTTTTCTTTAACCCTATTGACTCCTGAAGAAGAAGACTCGGCCCAACAGCTGAATTCAGGAAACTATCAAAACTCATTGCTTAGTCGTTCCTAGGTTCCAGGGTTGTGGTGGACATTACATTAAGACCTTTTATCCAGTTAACGATGCAGCCAATGCTGGTTCTCTTCCGACCTCGACTTCTATGCTAGAACTTGACTATATTCACGCATTAACCTAGAAAGCTCGGCCTTCCAGCATCATACGGTAATTTATTTGAGCATTTAAGAACGAGCAACTATTAAAGTACAGATATACTTGGAACACTTCCAATAAGATGTAACATTTTAACGAGCCACTTAAGAGAAAAGAAAACTCTCGAGAAATATATCCTGAATTAAAATAATGCACATATCTTGACAAACAGACATCATTTGTTCAGCTGCTGCCCAATGCTCGTGAAGGAAAACAGCACTCATTCCCTCCTAGTGTGAAAGTAATGGGTTTTGTCTTGAGAAAGATAACAATCCTCTGAAGCATTCGACCCTTCCAATTGAGAGACTTGCACAGCTGCACTTGAACACAAAGCCCATGTCAGCTTAACATTTCAACACTCTGCTTAATAGGTTTCCTCTTAGCCTAAGAGGGGGACAAGCCCTCTAGAGTACAAAGATTACTTTGTGTAGTTTCTAACATTATCCATAGAATGGCATGTTCTACACAAGTAGGAGCTCCCGGCATACATTCCCCGATACATATTCTTTGCTTACAATCATTTTTACACCCGCAGAATACGGTGGAATATTACCCAGTGCGGTAATAATAGTAGGACGTCAACCTGCCAGTACAATCCATGAACAATTTGTATAGCGAATTGTAAATTGTAGGCCAAAATAGCCGATTTAAAATAAATATTCTGCAGCTTAGCTGTAGTTACTACAGTGAGTATTGTTGAGAATTCAAAGTGCATTCCAAAACTAACGGCAACAGAGCGGAGTTGGAAGCAGGCACTGCTGACCTGGAGAATTGTTTCAGTTTGTTTATTATGGCCTGAAATTTGAAGTCCGTTGAATTCGGACAATTCGTACTTTAGTGAATAATCCTGTCAGTGACGACATCCCAAATGCATTTTAACGGTATAGAGGGGTTTGTTATCGTATGGATTTTGCAAGGTACTTGTGACGTTGCTGTTTGTTGAAAATTTGTCCTCGTCAATATGAAGGCCTAGCGTGTCATTTTGTTATATGAGGCTCAATTAAAGCAGTAAGCCATTTCCGAAGCTTTTGGCTCAAATGCCCCAAAAATACGCTGCTGACCAGTGTTCCACCATGTAACTGTAAAATCTATGATAAGTGGGGGAGCATTCGCTAAACTGTTAATTGTAAATAATTGGGAAAGGGATTGCATGTTGTATTCTTAAACAGCTACATAAAAACTGTGTGGGTGTCGAAAATGTACTTGCCCTTGCCAATTCTTGAAATAAACCCCCAAATATTACTGTATGGCAAAATGGAAACATAGGCACCCAGCCGTTTCCCAGCTGGGTATCTGAAGGCTTCGAAATATGGTGTAGCATGGATTCAAACCCACATTTTGTGCTACGTTTTTGTAAAGTGATGAATTCACCACCAGACCCGTCACTGATATCTCTGTTGCTGTGCGTATCTCGATTTGTGATAGGGGTCCTGGAAGATATACAAAGTTATTAACTAAAGTGGCAACTGTCAGGTTCAAAGTTAATTCCGCATTTTCGGCCAGGATGGCTCTTTTGGCCTTAAATTTAAATTTCACTTTGAATTCCAGACAATTCCCACTGCGGTATATTATAACCCTGATAGTGTATTGCATCTGGCGTCATGCCTATAACACATTTAGAACATACTGTCCAGCGCAGGATCAGTGTCTTGTGTCATGATAAAACTTTACTAGCTGAATCATGTACCTGGATCCTGGAAAATAATGTAGATGCCAGGAAATATCTGTGGTCTAAATTGAGTTCAGTATTACTCAATGGAAGTTTTTCTGAGCAAGATGATGGATCCAAGGGCTTATTATGCCTTTGTAGGTGAGGAGGGCACTTTGACCTCTAGTAACCCCTTTGCTGTTTGGAGGGCACAGTTATTTGCAAACAATGTAAAGGAAACTAACAGCATGCACACAGGTTCACATTAAACTGAGGTTTGAAACCAAAAGAAGAGGCTGGCCAAGTGGTGGTTGCCTTCCATCAGATATGGATGTCCTTACAGTAAGTATTGTTTTATCAGCTCTGTTTGGAAAGTAGTGTCCATGGGGGAAATGCGACCGTGTCATGGTTTCAGAACTGGAAGCTAGAGTTGTGTATTAATTACAACCACAGATCTCTGGGAATCTAAACCAGCTTTTTGGTCATTTTTTTTTTCTGTTCCTGTGTTGCGTTAACGCAGGGTTGTACTGAGGAGGGCTTGTTTGTGTTTGTTTTCATGTGAATTCCATGGCAATAAAAAGATCTGACCACAAGCAGCCATCAGATAAGAAGTTAATAAATAAAAGAGACAAGTCTCAGAATGACCCCTTGTAGTTCGGAGGGGATTTCTCCCCCCAACCATGCATTAGAAGTGATGGGCTAACAAGGTTGGTCCTGGGGATCCCACTTACCACACTCATTGTAAACTCTCTTCTTCTACCAAATAGTTGGTGGATGGAGGAGAGAATTAAATAAATACACAATTTACATATATAATAGACAATATGGTCTCGCACTATATATATCTCTCTATATACCATTACTGGGAATTTCCTGATGTCAGATAGATGATATCTTGAGGTTATTTGGGGTTATTTAGTCTAAATATGTGATCCATCCAGATCACTTCAGAGATGGGATTGATAAGTTTACAGTATGGTTAATGTATTAGAAAATAATATGTTATGCACTTACTATCTTATTAGACGATGGACAGCAATTCACTAAACAAGGATTCCCACAACGTTGTTAAAAAAAAACCAAATGGATGTGAACTGCATCTTTAAGATGAGATATAATTGTCTTAAAAGTAATATATTACTGTGCAAAGCTATAGATGCATAAAGTTGTATGTATTTGTTCGTAGAAGAAAAGTTTCTTCAACAGATGAAAGAAAAATAGATAATAGATAGACATTGCTGAGTGGACACACACAATTTGAAGAGCTACAAAAATATGTTTTTCTGTAATGAGCACGGACGGTAAAATCCCAGTCTATGGATATGAGGTATAGACAATCAGGGTTGGTACTGTTAGCATTAGATGTTTGAAATATATATGGAGACCTAATAGTAAAATATATGCAGGAAGATTAATAAAATAAATAATGAAAAAAGTCCTACTTGCACAATCCAGAGCAATGACCTGCTCTGGTGAAATAATCTTCACCTGGGAACTGCAGGTGAAACAAATACATCAAAAACAATGTGAAATTTACAAATAAAAAGAAATACCAGTCCACATGGATATAACACTTCACGCATTTCGCAGAGACTTTAGCAAAAGTGTGCGTAGTCTTGTGCAGAATGTATTGTAGGGTTGTCCAAAAGTTAGGTTATTGCCCAAATAAAACATACATTCACTGTTCAGTTTCCCCAAATTAAAACATGCATTGATTTAATTGTGCATTTTTACATCCACTCCACTAAGCTAAACAAACCAGGAAATAACATGACAGGTGCACAGTCGGATTTACCGGCATATGCACTAACCTTACCCTGAAGCCCATTAAGACACGGACACAGGTTATACTGTTGGAAATATTAGTCCACAGCTTTATTAATTATTCATTAATTAATTGAGGAATAACAAATAGGGTCATTGCAAACAAATATTATTAAAGCCCAAATCCCCTCATATACATAACATACCCCTGGCAATGACCCCACAATAAATAATCTGATTAACATATTAACACAGAAACTGGCCGTCCAATATGACCACATTTCCACCAGATTAAATTGTAGGGGTATACCAAAACACAGCTACACCCACAAGTTCAATTGCAGGGGTGTACCAAGACACCGCTTCACCCCCAGGTTCGGAGCCAGTGGCGGGCTTGAACCTACCAACCAAGTGTAACACTTCCTAATCCACGCTGAACCTCAGGATGTCCACTTCCTCCTCCATCTACCCCCCGATTTAACCTGTCCATTCTCCTGGGCTCCCCCACCACACCTAAACAAGGCCTGTTGAAGGCCCAGAATAAATAGGTCACACCCCACATCCAAAAGATGTACACCATCCCACTCCACCTATACTACTAATAAAGACCGCCTTCATTTTATTGATTTATCCCCGACACCGAGCCACCGCGGCCGGGTCCTTTGCATGTCGCCAGTGAAACCGAGGAACCATCTCGGACCGCACCACCACCACACCTGAAACCAGCTCCCGTAGCTGGTCCACATCCCTCTTCATCCATCTTACCAATTCCTTTTTTGGGACCATGCCCAGATCATTACCTCCAGCGTGGCTTAACAGTACATCTGGAACGGTGACCCTTGCCACCCTCCGAAAAATTTCACCACGAATGCCTTGCCAACCAAAACCCCGAAAACCAAACCACTCCAGTGTCACCAACTCCAGAGGAAAGCCCAGCTGCACTCCTTGTTTCCAAACTGCAGCTATCTTCTTCGCCCAGTAGATGTAAGAGTGGCCCACCAACCAGGCCACCCAACAAAAAATGAAAACAGAATCAGGGACAAGGCATAACACCCACACCCATTAAACCAAGTGTTCGGGCCGTAAGTAGGACTTAAACGGTACCGACCCTCACCAGCTCTTCACCTAGACCAAGGACGCCTCCGTTGCTGCCCCTACCCGGAAAGAATGGGTCAGGAGCCTGCCCGGTTTCATGTGCATAGCACTACGTGGAGTTTCGCCCGGACGTTCTGGGTTGTTTTTTGGTACATGGGGATGGATCCGCTCTGTCACAGTTCCAATTCTTTCGGGTTTTTCGGATTGGCTTGATGGAAATAGTGTTACTAAACAACCTTTACAAATACATCCATCTTTGTACTGCCCAACTGAATCACCACCCTATCGGTCCGTAATTAGATGTCCGTGTTGAACCCCCCCAATACCCACCCGAGAGGTACTTGTCAGGATTACAGTATGATCCAGCACGTAGAATTGTGTAACACAGAGGACTGATAGGTAACATATACTGGACCTTAGAATGGCCGGACTAACGTACCAAAGAATAGTCAGGAATAGAGGTCAAGGGATACAGAAAGAGACACAACGATAAGGAAAAGCCAGGGGTCAGGGATGCCAGAAAACAGGGAAGTCAATATCAATGCCAAAGTCAAATAACCAGAAAAAACATAATCAATAACACGCTCTCGGACAACCACAAGGGAAACCACGACAGGGCACAGAGCAAGAGGAGAACTGGGCCTAAATACCTTACCTGTGGATCTGATTGGCGTCAAAGGCCGGTTACAGCCAAAGGCAGTTACCAGGTTTCTATTTGCATATTTGCTGTGGATTGATTGCTGCTCAGCACAAACCCTCCTGTGGATTGATTGCTGCTCAGCACAACTTTTCCTGTCAGGACAGTAAATGCCATTAATCACATTTTTATGTGCAGATGAATATGTGACAGTACTCACCAGTTCACCAATCCGAAATGCTCAGAACAATGCCCACGAGAAGGCAACAGAGAATAACCCCACCCCAAAAGGAGATGAACACACCGCTGGCAGCACTCCCACGAAGCGCTGCAGGACTTTTAAAGATATTGGACTTCTAGTATCCACCAATTTCTTAACTCTCCTAAAGCCCCGTAAGGCTTGATGAATGTGAACATTTTTTGTAACGTCCTCCCAACCATTTAACTTGAACAGATACGCCAATGCCACCATATTCCTGTTGACCAGACCCCACAAGTTGCCCTTGCCAGAAAACGGCTAAAAACTCTCTCTATGGGAAATACCCTACACGCACAATTCAGACTGCCTATCAAAGACTGCAGCTCTCTCAACGTAACCTTTCTGGACCCTCTAACATGCACTACGATCAATCAACTTATACCTAGGCAGCCGACATTCCCCTGCCACCGAATCAATCTCCAAGCCAAGAAAACAGACAAATGGTTGGGCCCAACGTCTTGTCGGCTGCCAGGGGTACCCCAAACAAATGAGCCACCCATTCCAAAGACCGCAAGGTATGGCCACAACAGCCCGGCCCGGCAGTGCCCACACACAAGAAGTCATTGTGCACTAAAGAACCCCCACCCGATTCCTCCTTCACCACCCACTCCAAAAAGGAACTAAACTTTTCGAAGTAGGAACATGAAATAGAGCAGCCCATAGGCAAGCAAAGGTCCACAAAATAAGCCCCATCGAACATGCAACAAATGGTGACAATCCGGATGAATCGGCAGTAATTGAAAAGCCAACTCCACGTTAGCCTTCGCCATCAATGGCCCGCGTCCTGCCTTCTGAACCAACTCAACCACCTGGTCAAATGATGTGTAGGAGACAGAACACAGGGCCGCATCAATGTCGTCATTTACCGAAGAACCTTTTGGATATGACAAATGATGTATCAGGCGGAACTTACCCAGTTCTTAGGCACCACGCCCAAAGGTTAAATCTGTAAGTCCGCCAACAGAGGTTGTGAGAATGGCCCCGCCATCCTACCCAGCTGAACTTCTTTAGCCAATTTCTCTCGAACCACCTCCGGATGCTCTGCGACCAACTTCCCACAATCGACCCAAACCCTTTTGAAAACCCATCTAACAATAACTGTGCGTCACCCTGGTTACCGTAACGGCTTAGTCAAGTCAACATCGCGCCAACCTTCACCAGGGTTTCCCCCCGCACTGGCCCCACCATGAAAGGGTGCAGCTTTTTAAGCCATCATCAGTTTTATCTATAGGGGTAGGTCCACTTCCACCATGCTAAACCCCCATAAATACAATAAGCCTCCCAGATGCCATCCAAATAGCATAAAAACTGAGAACACCGCTCTGGAAATTTCTCCCCCAAAACACTAGCCAAAATGATGCCCGAAGTCAAATCCCAAAAGACTTGGGTATCTTCCAATACCTCAGCCTCTTTTCCACCTTCTCTTTCTTGGCATCCTTCTTATTTTCCTCCTTCAGATCAAGATACTCATGCCAAGAAAGGCATGAGAAGATCTTGAGGAATTCGCCCCGCCAAATCTTTTCCATCACTTCCGATTTTAGATGACAACCCAAAGGCCCAGCAAATGACACATGCACATTCTGCCTGGCTACCTCAGGGATCTCACCTGTCAACTACGCACGCTCGCTGACCACCGCCGATGTCCCTGACCCAAGTGAAGTCACCGTAGTCCCGCCCTGAACACTGCCCACTGCAGCCATCGGAACCGTAGTAGCCAACCCACTCCCGCCTGTTGGTGGACCCCACACCCGACTAAAATGTGCCTCCTGTGTATCCCCGACAGCCCAAGTGTTAAGATAGGACCTCAAGCTATCCAACAGATTGCCGGAGTGTAGTGCAGAAGAAGACTCACTGCCAGAACCCCCTGCCGTAAAAGACCGCGGGGCGGCTGTCCTTCCATCCACCTTGAGAGGTTCAGGAGTAGCATTATAGCCTCTGCATCCAGCTGCCTGGTCCTGCCTCAGAACCATAGGAGAAGGAGTTGCTGACCTGCAGGAAGAAGACAACCTGGGTAGTTTGCTTATAGGAGACCCAACCCGTCCATCCTTCCCACGTTCCCGACCACATTCCCTTTCCTCACAACGTCTGGCTGCCTGGCCATATTGGGCAGACAGGGTAAGCCTACTCTTCTGATAACTCCTCTTTTGCAAGCCCTGCACCGGCTCCTTGCCCTATCCTCGGAAGAAGTTGAACGCCCTCTGCTGTAATGCCTAACAAAGGGGCTCCTGTCTGCTGCGCTGACCCGCCTGGGACCGTCTATCCTCGCTGTACCTGATCCTATCCTTGGAACGATCCTGAGAAGTAGCCTGGCCTGGGACACCTGGTGACCTGCTATCCCTCGTCCTAGAGTGGCACTCCCTGCACTCTTGGACAGCATGACTCCTCCAATCCGGCCTATCCATCTGCCTGGTTCCATGTAGCCATGCACACTCTCTCCCACTTGACCACACGTGGGCCGTGCTGCGCCCCCCATGCGTCGTTTGGGCTGTGTCCCCACTATCAGGGCTCATATCTTGCCTGTTAGGCCTGCCTGGCACCTTCCTGGCCATAGCACTGCTATGTCCTATGCCCTGCCTGAACCAGCCGGCGCCCATGCTGACTTTGCCTCCACCGCAGGTGACCTGGCCCCCAGGGCTCTACCAGACTCCTTCCTGTTGCCTGGATCACCCACGACCTGTTCCCCTCCGTGCCCCAGGGCATCCACATCCTGCCCTCCGCTCCTGCTGCCAAGTGATGATAATGTAAATAATAAAAAAAATAAAAAATTTTGAATTCCATTTCATCAAATCATGTCTTTTTGTAAAGTGACACCTAAGTTCCATATTTAAAAATGGCTATTACAGGCATATAAAGGCCAACGTGAATTTGTAAGATATATGTTTTTAGAATACAGACACGTTGTTTTTTTGTTTTTTTTTAGATCTTAAGCTTGTTTGGGCTCTTCACCTACTTTTAGTGTATGTCAAATACCTTATGTTAGAATTGTTTGTCTTGTTTCACCTGTTGTACAGCGCTGTGGAACATATTGGTGCTATATAAATTATAATTTGTAAAAAATTGGCAAAGTATTATCATGACACGGGGTATTGACCAAACAGTGGCTGAACTAATGTAGAGGGTGGGGGAGGGTTGTTGCAAGAACTTTTTATGGGCCCCTCTAGCAAAGAGTGCTAAAAGGTAGATCCCTATCTGTCATACAACTCCCACAATGCTAAGCCAGCTGGGGATCTACCATTTGCCCATTCTTGCAGGTTTGTATTTGTGAGCAATGTTTCTGAGTTTCATTGTAAGCATGTATTTGTATAGAGTATGTGTGTGCTTGTAGGTGTGTATTTGTATGTACTTTTGGCATTGGAATGCACTGGTATACTTTTGTGTGTATGTAGTGTTGGTGTTTAAACACGGGTGTACATTTGTGTGTAGTATTTGTGTATTATTTTGGAGTTTTAATGCAGGGGTGTGTTTGCGGTGATGGAGTTCATCCTTCGACCCAGACAGCACAATGTCTTGGGCAGGCCCTGACTGGGACTGTTTTGCCGGGTCTAAGACAGTATCGCATCACTAATTTTTAAAAACTAATGTGACTATAAGGCAATCTTAGAGTAAGTCCGAACTCAGTTTTGCAGGTCTTTTCATGAATTTATTGTTTTGTGACACCACTCACTCCCCTATCTACCGGTAACGCGCAGCTGTAGAAACTCAGGCCGTGGGCTGTGAGATTCCTACCGGCCGAGAAGTACTGTTTAGTTTATGGATCTGCAGTAACTAAAATCTAAAATCAACAGAGCAAGACCACAGGTATTGGCCACAGGTGGAGAGTATTTGCTTACATATCCTGCATTGCTTGCTGCGCTGTTATTTTTGAGAGCCCTAAATGAAATAAGCAGAATCTTTCTCCCTCCCTGAATTTCTGCTTTTTAGACCGCATTGCTCCTAGATGATCCCCCCACACTCCTTCCAGCAGAGTAAATAGAGGGATATTGGATAAAAGCTTAGTGAACATCTCTTGTATCTTTTTACTCCCTCTCCGCAGAAAGGTCACTTCTTATTTGTTAGCATTACTGCAGCTTGTGTAGCACAAAACTGACGAGATATAATGGTATTTAACTTAAATGACTTAAAGGGGAACAAACGACGGCGTCAATTTAGCTGCTTCCATCACGGAGACAAGGTGTTTGGCACTCGTTGTGTTTGGGTAGTGTCAGCGCCAGTGAATCGTGCACAGCTTAACCCTTTCACTGCCAGAATGCAGATGCCAACAGGAGAGACTTCTGTAGTAGAGTATTTTTTTTGGCTCAGGGAGAATATCACGAATGTAAAGACAGTGCGTCTCATTCTCCGGAGACTTGGCACTGGATTGGCAAACATGATAGAAACGAAAGGATTTGGCAGCCGTCTACACGGCTCTGTATGCCCACGAGATATCAGGAGAATGTCATAATGTGTACGGTAAGGTTAATTATACCAAGCCAGGGTGCCAACTTTAAAACATCATAGGTAAATTAAGTTCCATGTTGTTACCACAATATGGTTATGTGATATTATGGATTGCCCATGTCATGTCACAGCTCCATGATTGGGAACCTTTAATTTGGAATATAATCTTTAACTAGCAGATACTTTTGATGAAGTTCATGGACACTTGTCCATAAGGAGTTAATAAAGTTGTCCGTACGCTGTATATTGACTACACTGTTCTATACGCTCACACTTGTTTTGTAACCAGTGTAAATCGGTGTAGATCAATCATTTCTATTTGTATAGTGCACGGTGTGAACAGAAATGGCCTTAATTTGCTATGCGCAGTGCAAGTACATCTAATGATGTCAAAGTGCTGTGTTTTATGGGTAGTTGTCACTACATGAAACCAGAGAACAAACATGGGACTGTCCTGCCAATCTGTTTCGGCAGTTCTGGGTTATGTGTATACAGTGGCCGATCTACCACTGGTGTGGCTGCAACAAAGGCCATCGGGTGGACCATGCTGTTCGGGTCATCTGACTGCAATGTGTTCTTAGGAGCCCAGTCAGCGCTGCGGCCCTTTAATAGCACGATCGGGACCCTTTACTGATAACAGCGAGGTAAAGAGGAGGGGCACCTCCAACTCCCAACAGCCTTAGCCAGCTGATGGGTGCAGATGGATGGCTTCCCTGGGCCCAAAGAGGTAGGAAACAGGAGGATGGCTAAAACAATTTTTGCATGTGTGTATCTGTCAGCATATGCCCCTGTGTGTCAGTGTTTGTATCAGTATGAGTGTCATTCGGTGTCTATGCATGTTATGTGTGTACTTCTGTAGATCTGCATATGTGTTAGTGCGTGTCTGTGTACCCATATGTATGTCAGTGTGTGTGACTATATCTGAATGCGTGTCAGTGTATGTGTATATGTGAATACATGTCAGCATTCGAACACCAACACTACACACAAATATACCCTTGCATTCATATGTCAACACTACATACACAGAAACAACTCTACATTCAAAGTCAAACACTACACACAAGCAAACAGCTGAACAAGGAATGGACCAGCGCTAAACCAACTAAGAATACTATGATAGGAGGCAGCACCCCTGATAATAGGGGAATCCCCTATCCTCAAAGATAACTAGAACAAGTCAAACAACAATATACAGGTAGCGCCAAGGAAAATACTCCAAACACAATAGTATATAATAAGAAAAACAATAAAAAACACACAGGATATAAAAAGAGCCCACAATAAAAAATACCAAATGGTACGGCACAGTCTCAAAGGTGGCAATAGATCTTCTAGTCCTGGTATGGGACTTTCTTGGTAGCTTTGTTTAATAGCAACCATGTAAACAAATGGCAACAGTGCATAAAAACACACAACCCTAAATGCAAATAAACCCACACATTCTCCACACGAACACATCCCTACCTACAAACACTGTTCAGTGCTAAATACAGTCCTGCAGGGATGGGCACGTGGTAGATCCCAAGCTGGCAAAGCATTATGGGAGTTGTACAACAGATCGGGATCTACCTTTTGGCCATCCTTGCAGCAAAAACATTCTTGCACCAGGGCCCTCTCCATTTTAGTTCTGTCACTGAATATACATAAAACTAATGTGTTTCGTAGTCTCTTGAGAAATTATACATTTTGGTTATGTGGATCTATATGCATAGAAAGTAGTTTAAAAGTTTGATTTTCTATATTAGTTCCACACACATTGTTTTGTGGTATAACAAACACCGACACCAGCGGCTATACAATGCAGGTGTTGTGGACCGCCTTTCTCGTGATGCACAGCAGTGGTGTATCCTGGTTTTGTGCTGCCCTAGGCAGGACAAAACTCAGGCACCCCCCCCCGCGCTACCCCCACCCGCGCAACCGCCACCCAACCCTTCCCCCCTGCTCCGCCTTCTAAATACACACACACACATTCACTGACAGATACGCATTCACTAGCTAACAGAAACACTCACTCACTAACAGACACACACACTCACAGGCAAACACACACACTCACTAACAGACACATGCACACACACACTAACAGGCAAACACACACTAACAGGCAAACACACACTAACAGACACACACTTTAACATACACACACACACACACTAACAGACACACACACACTAACAGACACACACTAACACAATCACTTGTGTTTTTTTTTTTTTTATTTAACCCCCCCCAGCCTCCTTACCTTTGGGAATGCTGGGGGGGTTCTTCCTCTCCCTGGGGTCCTGGGGTCCAATGGCTGCAGGGCGGGCGGGCGGCTGGCCGGCGAGGGAGCTCTTCCCCTGAGCGGTCTGCTCAGCTCCCTTGCGCGCCACCAGCAGAGTGAGGCTGGGAGCCGGAATATGACGTCATATTCCGGCTCCCGGCCTCACTCTGCTGGCGGCGCACGAGGGAGCTGAGCAGACCGCTCAGGGGAAGAGCTCCCTCGTCGGCCGCCTGCCCAGCGCTACCCGCTCGGCATGTCTGTTAGCCGCGAGGCTAACTAGGCATTTGCCCTGGGCATTTGGGGGGCGGCTTTTTTGCCGCCCCCTGAAAAATGCCGCCCAAGGCAAATGCCTTGTTTGCCTCGCGGCTAATACGCCCCTGATGCACAGTGAACCATTCTAAGTAGCTCATAATAGCTGCAATACCAAATATATGTTGCAAGTGTTTTAGAACATTGATGGCCAAAAGGTATCCAGCAAAGCCTCATGGTAATGCAGTTTTATAACAGCTGGGTAATTACCTTTTTGAAAACATCTGCTTTACAAGCAGAGGACTTGACGGTGAAGCCTGTATCTATAGTCTACCGTTCAAAAGCACAAAAAACGAAAAAGAAACAAAGTATCTGAGTTTATAAACGTTGCAGATACATCAGGCTATCAAAATATTTCACGCCTCTGCCTCACGAACAACAACAACAAAAATAAATTCTTAAACAATAGACATGTCTCTAACAAATTAGTTAACACAATTTATTTTCAACAGAGAGTCTTTGTCACATGACAGACTGACATGACATGACATAAACAGGCTGGTATTTTCCAGTCATCAGGCTGTGATTAAAGAGCTCTATTCTATCAGTTCTTCCAGCATTTCAGCAGAATGATCTCAGCACTAATTAGATCTCAGACACGGCGTGTGACCCGGAACAGTGAGGATTGAAAAATTAAAAAGTGTCAAAAAAAAATAAAAATGTTAAAAAATCAGGCAGTCTCGAGCGGATCCGTAGCTATAATGTGCAAGATGAGAATTTGGGAATCAACCTAAAAGTGTCATTAAACAAGCTCAGCTCCACTGTACAGGGATCAGAGGTTAATTGAAAGAGCTTTTTAACTTGAAAATAATGTCTGGTTTTATGTGTAATAAAAATACAAAATGTATGTTATTTTTAAGAGACTCTTAGTTTTGTAGAGAGAACACAGCTTGCAATTTTAAAATTGCTTGCTCTTTCCCACATGACCAGACCTGTACGTATTTGTTGAAATCAAGCTGGGGGTAAGGTCTACCCTCACTCTGTTTGTTCTGTGAGCAATATGCTCATCCCCTCTTAACCAAGAGATATATTTGTAAAACAGAGAAGTCTATTGACCAAACAACAAATCATAGTTAATTGAACAAACAATTGTGAAATTTCAGGAAAGCAGATAATCTAGAATTTTTACAAATCATTAATTTTGGCCTAAATTTTATAATTGTCTACAATCAATAAAGCAGTGATCATAAACGTCACCCAAACAAATGTTTTTAGGAGGAGTTTTTTTCCCTTTTATTTAAATTATTATTTTTTTACAAATCCCGGTGAAGATCTTTGAAAACGGAAATGTTATAGTGTTTATTCAATAACGGGTCATCTGTAATAAACTTTAAAATCGAACAGCCAAATTAGCCAGCTCTGAAACTAAATTTCTAACCAAGTTGAAGTCAGAGCTTGAACTTTGAATTTAGCCTGAATTATTACAGTTCAGGTTCACAATCACATCGTACTTTGCAAATACAAAAATATTTCCTGGTAACGTGCTAATTACCTTACTGGCAAAAAAAGTAGATATAACCACAAGCTATTAGGTTCCTCTTAGATGTCTTTTTTCCGTAACAGCTACAAGCTGTGTATAGACAGTGATTCCCAATAACTAGATGCTAGCACGGCATTCAAAAGCAGATTTTGGGAAGGGACTAAAAAACACCGTAGCTCCCACCCAGCATTGAAAGATTAATACGTTTTTTGGAATCATTATAATGTATGTGTTTGCTCTCTTCTTCTTACTCTAAACATTTCCTCCCCGTGATGTTGTCTGTGTAAAATGTCCAGATATATATGGAGCGTTTTTGGCCCTGGTCCCAATTGCACTTTGTGTGATGTGCTTAATTGGAGTGCTCGGGTTAATTTTGAGCCATATTTTTTTATATTTGACGTGTCAGCCTAGAGTGTGCCTCCCCCAACCGCATTAAGCAGTCAGGAAATTTAAACATGACACAGTCAATCGTTCTGACCAATATATTTAAATAGGAGCCTTCCATTGATTTCTGAGAAGGCAGACACTGATATGTAATAATTTAGCTACAGATACAGAACAGAAGGAAAAAAGGACACACAAGTCTTCGTATCATTCCGCAATGCATTTTATCCTGACCGCTATTATTATTAGTGTTTATATAGTGCCAATATTGTCTGCAGTGCTTTACAATTATACATTGGGGATAGTCAACGACAAGTTGGATCCTTGGGTGGTAAAAATCGTCAGAGATTGCCTGGCTATGGGTGTTGTGGAAAAGGAGTTGTAAAACCGCTTAAAAACTATTTTACAAAGACTTCTAGCATCTTACGCACTAAAATGATCTGTGGTTATTTTGATTAGATTGTCCCTTTATTTTATTTCATACTGGCATTTATAAAGCGCCTATATCTTCGGCAGCGCTGTAAAAGTAATTCTCTGAATTGAGGCCTATAATGCTTTGTCAGTGTAACCTTATCTGGTGATATCTATGGGGACTGGCAATCAAAGCTCAATGTTTGTGCCACTGCCTCTGGGTTTAAAGCACTAGAACAACTACCCCCCGCTTTAGTGGTTTTGGTAGCCAGCCACAGTAAGGAGTCAAATTGATTAAGAATGTTTTGACAACGTCCTTCTGTCTGACAGGCGCCCATCATCACCTCGCCTGAAAGAAGAGTCCATTAGCTCCACTGAGGTAAACCCTTCTCGGCCTGCGAGCCCGCCCTAAAAAAGCAGAGCCATTGAACGCCTGCCTGTACCTGCAAGCTTACCTCAGCAGCACATTCTTAAACAGTGACTACTTCCTGTGGAATGACATCAGGCCACTCCTGGCTCTATAAACACCACTGTAGTGGTTATGGTGCTTGGAGTGTTCCTTCAATGGTGTAAGTCTGAAGATAGTAAATGTTGTCTCTTTGTATAAGTTCTAAATGACTGGAACACCGTTGAATGAAACACTGAGCATTGCCTACAACATGCGCCAACCTGTTTTTTCATGCCATGCTCAGTTTTCTTTTCAATTTATATTAAAGATTTAGCAAATTACATCATAATCCAGTTTAGACAAGGCAAAGCCAAAGCAAACATTGCATATGAGGAGAACAAACAGAAACATTGTTTAATTTCTCCTTTACTCTGTATGTTTTCACTAAGCTGACTGCCGGGTGCAAAGGACAGAGCGTATAATAATGATTGTCAGGGAGCTAAGATGGAGGGAGCCCAGTTGCAGGTTTAGAAAGGTGTCAATTTCTAGATTTAATAATTTTTTTCTCATATCAAAAATGCGTATTTAATAAATATATAAGATAAGTAAACATAATGTTAAAAATGATGGGAATTGGCAGTTCCCCTATAAGAGCTGGATGCCATCTAATTTGAAGCAATTAATTTTAGCTTATTAATGCTCTATGTGGCACGACAAGAATGCAAAGACAAATTGATTTACACTATGTGACAAGATGACAATTGCTGCCTAGTCGCTAGACTTTTCCTTATAACAGTGAGCAGCCACTGGTTACTCGCTTTTTAGTAAACATGTCCCTAGTCGAAGCATGACAGATATTTCGTTAGTTTTGTCTTTCAGGTTATTAATAGTACAAAGTATTTAACCAGGAAAGGTACATTCAGATTACTCTGGTTTTCAAGTACATCCTGTGGATGTTACCTTAGCCCAACATCCAGGGGTTGTTACTATTAATGGTACTCATTTTATCTACCTCGGAAGGATGAAGGGTTCAGTCAACCCTGCCAGGATTCAAACCTGTGACCCCAAAGGGTTGAAAAAAATTCTACTGATGATGCATTAGCCCACTGAGCTATTTCACCAGTTCTTGGTAGACAATGCCCTAATCCTTGTGAGATTGCCATAAGAATACCAAAAAGGAGCTAAATATTAAATAGCTTCCTAATTTGGTACCCTTAAATATGGCAAACACACAAGGGTACCCAGTTTAGGAAGTTACCTACCAAACGGCTGCTAGATGCAGCCACAGCAAGGATCTGCATGTCAAAATGAAAATAATCGCTGAATTTAGTTTGAAAACAAATGAACAAACATAGGGAATTCAATTCAGAAAAAATGAAAATGTAGTCAGTGACCAAGTCTTTTACATAAATACATTTTAAACATTAGATATTGTTTTTGGGAAGTGCTTCCTACACAGTACACAAAGTGCAAAAAAAAATAGCTTCCCCCCAGTTGGCCACAAAGAAAATCAATTCTGTAAGAAAACATATTTGTAATTATCATTGTGAACTGTGTGTTTAATTGTAAATATTTCCATTAACAGGACACGTTTTACAATGTTTCATCATCTGCATTTTGCGCACTTTTTAAATTCCACGTCAGTATCACATATATCAGAAGCATACTGTATGTGTAGAGAATACATTTACATTAAAGTTTTCATGTTAAAAAAAATAAAACACACATACACCAACACCCCTTATTTAACCACTACAGCAGCAGGCTCATCAGAGCCAACGCAGAAGCTTCAAGTTCTCGAATCAGAAGGGAAGGTGCAGGGAGCTACACCTGACAGACCCAAGTTAAAAAGTCAGACTGTTAGAAAACAGTTTGACCAATCACATCCAGGCACCATAACCACACAGTGCACTGTAGTGGTTATGGTGCTTGGAGGTTTTTTTTTTTTTTTTTTTTATCATGCTACCTACATTGCTACATGCTTAAAAAATCCACTTATACCCATTTGGAGCAATATAAAAACCGATTTATCCATGACAACCACAAACTTTGCATGTATCTATATCAAAAAAATCAACCCTATTCACTTGATACTTTTTGTTTTGTTCTAGCAACAAGGAGCGGCCACGTCTATCTACTGCGCTGTGTCCCCAGAGCTAGAAGGCCTAGGAGGGATGTATTTCAATAACTGCTGCCGATGCCTTCCATCACAGCAGGCCCAGCGAGAGGAGACGGCGGCGGCCTTGTGGGAGCTGAGCGAGAAGCTGATCCAAGAACGAGTTGGCAGTCAGTCCAAATAGCAGGGAGCCGCCATTAGGATCAAAACACATGGAGTTGTGTGCACTAGGAAACTGCCAGCTTTGGAATGTGTCCAAACTTATCATCTAGAGGGTTTCTGTATACCTCTGATACAGATTAACTAGTGTTAAATGAAATAATGGCAGTCACAACATAGTGAAAAATGTTAAGTACTAATGGGAAGCAGGGAATACGGTGGGGTTAAAGGGATGATATCTCTTTTCTTGTTGTTAGTTAAGCACATTTTCTTTTGTCTTTTAATTAGCGTATGTAACCAAGATTGTGAAATAAATAACCGAGCAAAATAAAAACAGCAGATCGATGGGGCCAAGTAAATTACAAGCCGTTTAATTTCTGCATGGAATGTAATGGATCCTGAAGAAGGCACAAGAAATACTGTGATGTTGGTGGTTTGACAATTTAATGAAATATAGACCCATTTTGCAAAAGAAAAAAAAAAAGAATGGAGCTTGTATTGAATAGATTCAATCGTGATGGTTAGTCTTGGAAATACAACCAATTGTGAGTTACATTTCCCACGATGCACCACCAGCTGACAGACTGATTGAGCATCATTGGAATGTGGACCACAATCATAGTATTGCTGTCTTTTCTTTACGGAGATTGTGAACCAGAACGAATATTAATAAACACACAGTGGATAACAAGTTTTATGGAATTCTGTGCTCTATGTTCGCGTGACAGGGACATAGTGGTATTTAAAGTTATATAGAGGGTTTTGTGTGGTAAGCATGAGGGATGGGCACTCTGGGATGTTTGTAGTCTCGGCATCCCCAATGAATGGCACAGAAAGCCTACGTACAAGGTGACAATGAAATCATGGAAAATTGACCCCCCAAATATTACACCTCTACAACGTTTCTGGACTAGATCATCATAGACATTGGGAGTAGGCAGTATCTTATTGAGCCTAGTGGCCACTGTCACCCACTACTGCCCAACTATTCACAGTAATCAACAAAGCCAGGATATAACTGGCATCATGGTAAAGTCCACATGTTATTTTGTGGTACTTTATATTTGGAGCTGCAGACAATTTAAATGTGCATTTGTTTAAATAATGGCATTTGCTAGCTAATGGGAAGTATATACCCTGTAAAAGAAAAGGTAATTACATTTTATTGATACTATATTAAATGCCATTACTATTGAACTATGAAAAAAACAAGCCTAGTGTGCCCTAGCCCAGCTCCTTCCTGCTCGCCCCCCTCTCCCCAACCCCCCAAGCATGCAGCAGCAGTACCAAGCTGCAGCTGTCAGTGACTTTGCCCCCGCTGCCTGTATCAGGGAGTAGCTCCCTCCCATCTATCACTGGGGTGAGGATAATGAAATCTTCCACCCTGGTCCCACACAGCCACGTGTGACAGGTGAGATGGTGATGCCTGCACCCATCTTGCATCCGTCACCCAAGGTAGATCACCCCCACTGGTCCAGCCACTCCTCAGGTTGTCTTGGTAAACAAGATGGGACCAATAGGGTAAATACCTGGATATACGTATTACCATTTCTCCTCTGCCTGTGGTGCCTTGTTCCAATAAGCATTACACAATGGAAGTGAGTTATCATAACCCCAAGTACAAAGCATCAAGCATCTCCTTGATGCCAAACCTTGCAGCAGATGGATTTTCTAGTTTTATTAAAAATACCTAATCTAGGCAAAAATAATAGGGGTTTAGTTACATTATATGATCATACATTGCATAAGCCTGCCACAACGTCAATGTACCCCATCTTTGGCAGGTCCTAATATATATATATATATATAGAGAGAGAGAGAGAGAGCGCGATCAGCTAACGCTATGGTCAATACAGCATTGTAAAGAAAAATATTTTCCAACATACCAAAAGTTTGGTACTTTTGCGAAGGCAGCTAGACCACTACCATTTCAACCAAACAATAACCTGCCTGTTTGGACAATCAACAGCTTCAATCATTATTATGAGATGTGCCCATAGCTTCCAGGAAGAAAATATTGGCTTCACTGTCCCTTTAATATATGCTTGAAGAGGAGTTATCTATCTCTCCTAGTCATCAGAGAAACCAACATTCAAAGTTTCAAATGAAACTCATTTACTACCAGGGAGCAACAATGTGTCAATTGGAGTTGAGGAAAAAAATAGATTAAAAATACAGAAATAAAATGTATGATTCACAATCCAATGTGTCTTTATATAACATACTGACAGATGTCATTTACTCTTCTTGTTTGACAATTGTTAAAGATCAGCCATAGGTTAAAATGTCTCTCGAAATGTCCAGCTTTAGACACCAACCAATGAGACCTCTTCACCTGTGTTGTGTCTTAAGAACATCTTACTATTGTGTTTACCTGATGCAAAAATGTGGATCTCCACTGATAATATTCAGTTCCATCTTAGACGAGAAAACCGGAAGAAAATAAATAAAATGTCCTTGAGAGAGGTGTCGTTATTGTCTGCTTTCTCTTGCTTCAATCCGAGGATTTTATTTAATTTTTGTGCTTTGTGATAGTATCTTCGGTTATTTTGTTAAGCCATTAGCATCGTAGGTTGATTCCTGCAAAGACAAGACAAATGTACAAAATCTGATTAACAAAAATGATTTGCTGAAAATGAAATAAAAACTTAGAATCTGTCACAGACATGGAATTACAATGCATGCAACAGTCCAGATAAATAGCGTGAGCAGTCAAACAGTGCAACCTTTACCTTCACCCGATCTGTGCAGAGCAATGACAACCAAAAGATAGCCTCTAACTTTTATGAGACTACAACGCCCATGATGCTTTACCAACCCAAGGTCCTGCAGAAAAAAGAAGTAATATCTAGATAATGTAGCCTTTAGTCCTTGTAACATTAACAGATGTATTTATAGATCCGACATGGCATTATAGATGCAGCCCTCCCAACCATCCCGATTTTGATAGGGCAGTCTCGATTTATGGGTCCAGTCCTAACTTGGTTCCTTGGTATTCCCCTTTCATGGACACTAGGGAGTTGTCCCCAACTAGCATGGCAAAAGTGCAACATTAGACATGCTTGCGCCATGTTCAGGGTGATAGAACCCTTCAGGTTCTGCCATTAGTGGGCATGCACGCCAGGCTGACTTGCCAGTAATATGAGCAGACAGTCACCCTTTGGGCTGATCCGTGAGGAATTGGTATTACTGCTACCCCGACCCTTTACCCCCTCCTACCGGCATCCAGATAATTGTAAATTGGAGGTATGCGGATGTTATTTAGTAACACTTAAACAAGCTCATATGCCATACTTACAGTGGGGTAAACCAGTAAGAGTGTGTTTTAAAAGTGCAACAAAATTATTTTTCACAGAGCGTTTTTTTCCCAGCATAGGCATGCACTCCAGACAGTGCTAACAGCCCTATACTATAAATATAAAAATTCTACAAAACACGGAGTGTCCTTGACAACCGATGAACGGTTTATTTGTGGTTTATACAGACGCACTGCACTTAATTCTATATCTCAAAGTCGCAAATTCTCAAAAAAAAAAAATCAAAAAGCCAAATGATACGTATAACTTATTATTATGGAAAGATTACATTCAGTAAAGTTGACCCTGGTAAACATAAGGTAAATTAGGAATTATACTGGAGTCAAAAACTCCGCCACTGCATCACCATGTTCCATCACTGCCCAAAAGCAGGAGGGATGGGGAAACCAGGGTAACCCAATAACCTCAACCCACAGACAATCCTGATATAAACATGCAGTCGTGCACATATGCCTCCCATAAGACACATACAGCCCCGCACACATGCTCCCTCAAAGTTCCCATTACATAGGCAAAGGAGACTGATGAGGAAACAATATAATTTGTTGGCGAGAGGGAGGGAGTCTGGGGGAGGTAGGATGAAGTAGACTGATGGAGAGGGGAAAGAGACTGGCAGAGATAGACATAAAAAATATGTTGAGAGACTAGGCAACAGAGAACGGGCAAACCAAGAAAAAATAAAAAGACTGTAAAAAACAAAAAACAAAGAGAGACAGTCTAAAGGGCAACAAAGACATGCGGAATAGGCAGGAAAAGAGACTGAACAAAGACGTGGGACACACAAAGTGTTAGATATAGTGGATTTTTACCTAGTGCAGTAAATATCAATGCACCAGATCAAAATGCAGTGCGTGTCCTTCTCAACAAGATCACAAAGTGCAAAAACATGTTTAAAAGGTTTTTTTTGAGAATTAATGACGGTTAGACTTCCCCTTTAAAGCATACATATATTTTTAGTACTACTGACAATAACCTGCATAATATTCTGTTTTATGGCTGCATTATGCAAACAAGTAGGAGTCATAAATGTGTTGTTGTTGTTATTATTATATTACAATCCTCTAATTTCAGTTTGACAGTGGCATTTTATGTGGTAGCTGGACTACAACTCCCATTGCTCTGGAGTGTGCTTGGTTGTAGATCAACAACAGTTTTAGAGCAACAGCAGTTGCTCAGCCCAGATGCAGCCACCTTTAATGTACCATGATGTATGCAGATGATCTGTCTGCTGGTTTTAATCCTTCATTAGCTCTTTCAATCAAAAAAAAGGAAAATAGATTCTGGCAGTCTGGAATTTAAGCAAACCGTGGAGGAAAAAAAAAAAAAATCATGAAAGCTTTCAAAATCATTTCTTCGACCTGTGAAGAGTCTTTTCCACAACTGAAGAAGTGGGTCAAGGTTGGACACTTGCATGTCAGGTGTCCGACCCATGACCTCTGAAGTGAAACACATAATACTAAGCAGGTTAGCCTTCGATTGATCAATAATCTTGTAAGTGAGAGTCTATAGGGATCGCCTTTGATGCAAAAAGTATTTAGGGTGTGAAAACGGATTGCAGAAGCAAACTGCAAAATGCATCTTTACGTTTTAGCACATGGCATTCTCCGCACTAACACACGAAATAAGACTTTTTTATTTTTTATGGCATGTTTCACGTTTTTATCTTACCTGTCAAATAGCCCAGATTTGTAGGTGCCGACCCTAAACTCTGCTCAATGTTCTAGACTTTGTAGCAGATTTTTTTTTATATATATATATGTTTTATTTTATGACTTTTTTTTAAATTGTATATTTTTTAACTACTTCATCAGCCAGATGTTTAGGGTCTGAACGCAGGTAAAGTTGATTGTGAAAATAAACAGTATTTTTAGCTAGAAGCTTGAGAAACACTACACGATTTTATCGTAGATCTTAAAACCCATGCGGCTTTAGCTACCTTCTACAGAACGCTGCTAATGTGGAACAAACGTCCATAAAATCATCAAATCCTCTGCCAGTCCAAGATCCCTGGAAACATCTGCCTCATTATATGTCAAATAAAAATTCCACTGCAGTAAATACTGATGTTAAAGGAACGCGTGAAACCAAAGGTGCAAGAACGTATCCTCAAATGAATCAGGCTAATGAAACATACCTTTATACATTCCCACAATCCTTTGCCATGCAGGGGCTTATGGTAATCACACGCGCTCATATTTTTCTGTTGTTGCCTGTAATGTAATTTCACAAATAAAAACCAGCAGAAAAAAAAAAAACTTAGTTGCACTTTATCCCAAACCTCTATGCACATTTAAATACCTGAAGGTTTTTAGTATCACTCCAAACGCCATTAAACTGTACGCTCACCTCAAGGCAAAACCTCTACACTAACTACCCTAACAATTCACCTTGCTTCTTTGAGCTAAAAAGCAAATTCTCTAATGAGACCGAGATGGGTATTTTTATAAACTTCTACATACTTATTAACCTTTAATAAAGAGCACATGGGGTTGAAGCACATTTAAAAATACCCCTCTCTTACTCAGTTCTACGAATATGTAGATAATCTAACATAAGGGTATACGATGCTGTAACAGAAGTTCACATGTATCTTAGTAGTAGCCTATAGTGGAGTTGACCACCTACCCCGATAGTTATATTATAAGGCACTCCAGAAACAATCCATTCAAAAGATACATTACAATACATGTTACTCCCTTCGGAATGCCCATTGTTTCCAGCTATTTCACAGTGTAGAGGCCAAGATCTGCAATTGGTGGACACGCCTTTGTGCCCTTCCATCCACATGAGCTTATCATTTTTCTTATAAAGGAAGGAGAGTAAGCAAGCAACCACAGATGCCCACCCACTCTTTCCCCCATGGAATATGGGATTTAGAGGACCCCATACACACAAGGGAAGATCTGCTTAAAGACACACTCTAATAACCATAGACACTACAGCGCACTGTAGTGGTAATGGTGCCAGTAGTTTCCATCCAATATCTAGCAGCAAACTGCCACACCATTCACACTTACCTTGCTGTACCAAGGGACCTGAGTTGATCTAATAAAGCAGAAGTTTATCATTTCAACTAGGTTTACAGTCAGCGGACTATAGTGTGTATGGTGCATTGAGGGTCCCTTTAATGCTGCCTTCGTCCAATATGCCACAGGTGAAAAGTTAAAACAGAGCAGATGAGCAGTTGGTGGCTGCTCACACAGTCCTTCACTATCCCCTGGATGAAGGCATTTTGACTATAAAAAATGAATAAGGGAGTCCGCAGGAACATCCGCTACCTATTGATCTAGTGGCCCTCCTCTACACACTGAATGCAATCTGAGTGAAGGAATCAATAATGAGATATGAGGGTCTAATTGGTACCTACATATCTAATGCCAGAGGAAGCCCAGGCCCTTGGCATAACAAAAGTACAATTGTTCCAGGGATGCACAATACCAATGACACATAAAGATTAGGGATGTCGCGAACGGTTCGCCACAAACTCCGGTCAGCTGACACGTCCCGGCCAATCTCCAGCAGACCCTCCCTCCCAGACCCTCCTACTTCCTGGACAGCATCCATGTTTCAATCCAGGAAGTAGGAGGGTCTGGGAGGGACGGTCTGCTGGAGACTGGCCGGGACGTGTCAGCTGACCGGAGTTCGCCGCGAACAGCTCGTGGCGAACCGCGGCGAACCGTTCGTGAGAAGTTCGCGGACGGTTCGCGACATCTCTAATAAAGATATGTCTTGTCCTCCTGATGCCTTCAAATACAAGTGAACATAGGAAGGATTCATTCTTAACCTGAACCTCAGTGATAGCCAGAATGTACATGCCAACTGTTTACGAACTACAACTCCCACAATTAATTAACAGCCATAAAGGCATGGAATCTGAACAATAATGACAAAGAAAGTTATGTGTCCATACATGAAGAAAATAACTCAATCTTTTCATGAAGGATCTTCACTACCCTGTACATGCTACCAAAATGCGATCAATTGGAAAGTAGACAAGCGCTATCAGAAACAAAATACTGGCCCGTACTGCAACATATTATGGTCCAGAATCTCAAAGCAACTTAAGCTCTACTGACATCAAAAATTATAACATTTAAAGTGATGACCACATATTGTGTGGACCTCTGGAGGTCCTCAAGTGAAACAGATTTGTATAATTTTTCAGCTTAACAGATCTGGGATTGCTGCCCTCTGCCGATTTACTAGTGATTCTTAAAT